TCTCTTAGTGTTACCATTTCACCAAAAAAAAATCTCGAATTCCTTTACAGCTAAAAACCTGGAACGTCAATGTGGCATTTAAAAACGCAGGCACTGTAAAACAAATGTTAATCAAGAACTCCCCCAACAATGCAGGCGGCTGCATTTACAATGTTCCTTGCAAGGAATGTAATGTTTTACTTAGGCCAGACAGGTAAAGATCTTGTAACTAGACTTAAACAACATAAATATAGTGTTAGGACAGGCCAGGAATCCAATGCTCTGTTTGTTCATTTGAGGGATAACAAGCATTGCATTGACTGGAATAATGCCTCCTCAATATTACCATGTAATTCAATTGACAGTAGGAACATTATAGAATCCAGTCTCATTAAACTTACCGAATCCGTCAACATGAATTTGAGTAATGGTATGTACAAACTGGATAATTTCGTAATTAAGAAGATTTGTAACCAGGTGAGAAGGTTGGGTCATCTTATGCTCTGACCTGACTACGGACTTATTAGTAGGGTCACTGCCTAGTGACCGGACCATTGTGGATACTCACTGTCCCCGAGGGACTTGATCTCACTCTCCTCTACTGTATATATATGCCTTGGGAACTTCGTGTTTTCTGTTTTCTTCTTTCCTTGTGGTTATCAGCATATACCTGGATCACGCACACCCACAGTGATTTACTTGCACACATATATATATATATATATATATATATATATATATATATATATATATATATATATATATATATATATATATATATATATATATATAAGTCGCCCCTCTACATTAGTTTCTCGCAAAATAACATGCACCACCATATCCCACGAAAACGTCTCCAGACTTCACCCCAAAATTCACTTCGCCGTAATGCATTCGTTTGCTAACCATTATCAATTTAAGGTAACCAAACGATGACGTAGTAATGCTTAGGTCTGTCACTAGTTTTGCGCGTTAAAAAGCAGTAATACTTGATTAAAGCATCATGCAAACTAAAAATAAAATAAATGACTATTTTCTACAAATTTGTGTTTTCATTTTGCCGACATTTTTCGCCCCTCTCTGTCTATCCACAACGTCCAACCAACACTATATTTTATTTTTAAGTTTTACTTATCTTTTCACCACTTATCAGCTAACTAACCGTTCGGGCGGTTGGTGTGTTCTTTGTTACTCTGTTATTTCCTTTATTGTCTATTGCTAGTACAGGCGGAAACCAGATTACTGCATAGTACTCAGGTTGTAACTGGGATGCGTTCAGTTGCCCGCTACTTAGGTACAGTCACCCAAAAAAATCCTGTCGCGAACCACGATTCAGACTCGTGAACCCGAAGCAGTAAACACTGATACATTATTCTGTCCATAAATGCTTCGGATTCAAGAGTCTGAATCTCGGGGTTCATGGTTCGCGACAGGACTTTTTTGGGTGACTGTACGTTAAGAAAAAATAGTAGCGTGTTATTGTGGGAACTGAACGTTTTGTAACGTCATCACGCACTAAATACTTTTTACTTTATCCTCTTAGCCACTGATCGGCTCGTTAACCGCTTGGGTAGTCGGTCGCGTGACCCACGTCTTTGTTATGCACTGTTGGTAAGTACTGGGCATGCACTGTCTCCTGAATGTATCTGAATCTGCCCCATTGTTAGTCAAGTCTAGTCTTGAAAGAGCTCACATTCGATGCTATCACAACACTCTATGGCTAGTTGTTCCAAGAGTTCACAATTCTCACTCCGAAAAAGTTTGCCCTCAATTTTCTAGACTTGTAGCCAGGGCCGGATTCAAGAGTGGGCAAAGTGGGCAGCTGCCCAGGGGCCTCCACATGTGCGGTAGTAGCTATATCAGGGCTGGTCGACTTGAAACCACATGAATGACTCCAGTCATGTCTCACTTTTGTGTGTGGGTGTGTGTTGGGAATTTGTACACTATCAATAAATATACAGTTAATTAAAAAATTCTCAATGTTCTAATTTCCTCAATATAACTGCATATGGCTTCAAAATTCTCCAAAGAAGTGTTCAAATTTCAAAATTTCCCGGGGGGCTTACAGCGCCCCCCGGAACGCCCAGATGTTTAGGCTCGCTTCACTCGCCACCCCACCCTCTTGGGTAGTTATAATGAGGGGCCCTCCACAAAGAGGCTGCCCATGGGCCTCCACAGGTCTAAATCCGGCATTGCTTGTAGCTTTTTCAACCTTGAGCTGTGGCACCTTGTTGGGTAGGCGTCCGCCAGCTCCAGGTATGGACACACAACTAACTTAGTGCCCTCCGAGATATTTATAAACATCAATTAGGTCACTCCTGGCTTTCTCGTCTGTAGAATAAGCTAAGCAGTTGCAGGCGTTCTAGTCTCTCTGGATAACTGAGGTGCCGTAGTACAGGCACCATCTGGTGGGCCTTTGGACATTTTCAAACAACTGAAAATACCTAAAAGGAAGGCCACCAGACTAGGTGGCTGCTATGGTTGCTCCGGTTGGGTTCTTTGCAGCACAAGCTACCCTAAACTACAGACACCTTAATGTAGAGTTCCTCCTCCAGTCACCATCTTTCTTCTATATAAACATCTCGGGCTCTCTCGACATTATGGAGCTACCCACCTCAGTGAGCCGCAATGGTACAGAAACTTCGATTCGCCGACTACGCTGCCGTTCAGTTGAAAAAGTATAGTCCCGGTATACTTCGAACACTACGAGTCGCGCAACTGGGCTGCATTTAGCATGATCACATTCACAATGGTTAATTCACCCGTCTCACATCTGTTCATTACTCAAACCTAGGACACGGTTGAAATATAAGCGCGTTACCGCTGTACACATGTATCACCATAACAAACGCTCACTGTTTTGTACACAAATGTTTCCAATGACAAGATGAACAACCCTACCTACCTAACTTGAATAAAATATACTACATCATTGTTAAAAAAAGCTTAGTTTCATCTTATTTAGTATAATTCAAGATTATAATTAACAAACGCTAAAAGTGTTCCTTTCTATGGAGAGGTTTTTGGGAAGCGTTTGTTTACAACAAATCAACACAAAACTAGCGTGGGCGAACGTGGCGATTTGAAGTCCATTTCCTTTTTCGTTTTTTAGAAATAAATTACGCAAAACTGAATGAAAAAAGTGATATTATCATTAATTGCTATTTCCTCCTGGTAATAAATGAGTTGTCTTCAAAGCAATTTTGTAGAAAGTAGTTTAAGTGCACACGCGTCGTAAAGTATTACAAAATAAATAAAATAGCGGTCCGACTAATTACCCAAATACTAGTCGAGGTGAGGTTAGGTTAGGTTAGGTACATGCACTCGATCTATTAACTCAGATTAAATTAAGTTTACCAATTTTTTGTAACTTCGTGACGCCAAATACTAATCGAGAAGTGATTGGCAGTCTGATTTATTCATTTAGGACCATTATTTGACTTCATTCCGGCTATATTTGGCTACATTTGGGTAATTAGTCGGACCCCAAAATAGGAATACCATACTGTATGTCAAATAATCGTGAACTTACCTGTGATGATGATATATAGTAGTTTTGATATATGTAGTAAGCGTATTTTTCACTTAATGTATCACTTTTTCTTTTACTAAAAAAGATTCACTTTGTTCACTTATTTTACACTTTGAGAGAAAAGGCGGCGTCACACTAGCACTTGTTAATTTTACACGTACTTTTATCCTCTTCACCACTGGTCGACTCATTAGCAGCTTGGGCCATCGCTTTTCTATGTTACACACTGTTGGCAAGTACTTGGCACGCCCTGGCACCTGAATTTATCTGAACCTACTCCAGTCATGGCCAATTCTGGTTTTGAAAGAGTTCACACTCGGTGCCGTCACAACACTCTCCGGCAGGTTGCCCTTGAAGTTCACAATTGTCACACTAAAGTTCTTGCATTAACACGGATTCACACTAGCACTTTTTGTGTCAATGCCACGCCACACTTGCACTTTCGGCGTTTTTTTTATTAATTACCTTTTCTAGAGCGTAACCTTGCGCGTCAATTTCTGATGATGAGGATAATAATATAAAATAAAATATCGAGGTAGGGAAAATAACTTGTTTACATTAGGCGCGTCAAGGTTTGCAGCTGCGAACGCGAAATGACTAGTGCGCTCGTTCTTGTGTGTGTGTGTAAAAGGGCGCACTGATTCTGTGTGTGTGTGTGTAAAAGGGCGCACTGATTCTGTGTGTGTGTGTGTGTGTGCCATATGACATCACAAAAATTGCGACCAAGTCCCAGGTTGCTAATCTGACTTTCTGCCTCATTTACACACAATTATTATTATTATTATTAGTAGTAGTAGTAGTAGTTGTAGTATTAATATTAGTATTTATTATTATTATTATTTGTATTATTATTATTATTATTATTATTATTATTATTATTATTATTATTATTATTATTATTATTATTATTACATTTTCGTCCCCCAGGCCCCGATGTGGGTCAGTGACCTGTGCCCGCGTAGGCTAATCCCCTTAAAAAAAATCTGAGGCCAGTACATTCTTAGTACATGCATTTTCCAAGTTCGCAACTTCCCAGTAGTGCATACCAGAGACGTGACGTGATAGACGGCCCAAGCGGCTAACGGGCTCAGTGGCAAAGATGATAATAGTAAAGTAATGGAAAGATCCTCTTTGAAGCCTCATCATAGTCAATTATTTTTTAGTTAATTAATTCCGTCCAAAGGGCGGCAAACTCGCCAGAAACATGGGGCCTGTCACAACGTAAGAAGATTCCAAGAGAATCATCATTTAGTTAGTGAACAAATTTGTCTCTTTTTGGACATTATATTATTATTAGTACGCTTCAACAAATATGATATTTAAGCGCGTAAACAAAAGTTAGTAGTTACACTAGTCTATCAACAATTAAAGTTAATGAGAATGTTTCAAACAGACGGATAACTCCCATTTATGGTAAGACACTGGAACACGACCGACCTGCTTCCTATATGTTCCTGGGCGCCGAGCGTATATGACCTAACTATTTAAATGCAAGGCCCCAAGTTTTCATATTATAAATCGGTTTCTCTATTCTGTTAAAGTCATTCTAATGGAATAATATACGTGTTCAACTTCCATATAAAAATTAGAATTACGTTATATACCTCTATTGATCAGGAACTATAGTTCAGCTTCCATTGTCAACACTCAACAGCTCCACGTGAAGCTTGTGATTGTGAAGAGTACTACACTACTACTGTTTTAATAACAGGTACAGACTGTTTATTCTGTTTGTTGAATATATTAAATTTGTCTGAGAAACAATACCCACATATCTTATTCGCATACTAAGTTCAATACACAAAGCATGAGCTGGGTATCTTGTGGGGAGTCTCATGTAGCGTCTTATGGGTCTATCTATGCCATTACCTTTTATGAAAATATACGCAGGGGCGGATCCAGGAATATCAAAAGAAGGGGTCCAAGAAGTTATGGGTAGGGAAACCTGGCGACCACAGCGAGCTCACCCAGCTGGGGGTGGGGGCTATGGGAGGATGCTGTATGCCCTCGCAGGAAATTTTTTGAAATCTGACCAATATCATGGGCATTTATAGGCCATTTTGAAGCCATGTGCACTTGATATTAAGAGATATTCTGAGGTCAATAAGAATTACTTTTTACTGTACAAAAATGCCTGAGTACAATACTACATTAAAGAAAAAGTATTGGAATTTTTTGATGAAAAGGGAGGGTCCGGACCCCTAGGACCCCCCTGGATCCGTCCCTGCTACATGTTGTACAGAGTAAGATGCAAAGAAAGTTTATTGGAGTGTTTTTTATCCATATTATATATGAATTTATTTTCAGAAAGATTTGAACAATGGGGGTTAGAACAAGGAGAAATAACCGAAAGAAGTATCGGTATCGTGCAAATTCAAATAGAAAAGAAAAAAAAATGGACCGGAAAATCAACCCACACATTGAATGGTAAGTTGCTTTTGCTTGGATTCTAAAATTGTTTCTATGTAAATTTGATATCAAACTGGTTTGCACAACTGTTCCTCATTGCTAATTTAAATAAATGAGTTTGGGAAACAAGATTGAATGATTTTTCTTAATTCTCTCTCAATTCTCACATATCCCAAATATCTGAAAGTCATATCTGCCAACATCAAGATTGTACTAACGATAAAGTTGCTTTTGTGACATAAATTAAAAAATACAGTATTGTAGTTAGGTAATTTTAGACAGTTAGAAAAGGTTCTTGTGGGGTGGGGAGTAAAATTTGGATTTCAGTCTTATGGAAATGTTTTTATTCTGCTTTCAATTTATAAAAAATTATCAAAATATGGAGAGTTAAAACTAAAACTTTAGCTACAGTATGTGTATTATGACAACAAAGAACCAAGGACGATGTAAAAGGCAAAATATTTATTCAGGTAAAAGTATTGTCATAATGATTACAGTACAATTCCACCAGGCTCTGATTTGATAGGACTTTGTCAAATGTTTAACCCATAAAGTGTCAATGCCTTTTATAAATGGCAGTGGAGATTTGTAGGTCCCATGCAGGCCTAAACCCTCATGAAGTGAAAAATATCATCCATGGCAGCTGTTCCAGTCATGTTGGCCATCAGCTGTGCTATTGGGAGTCCAGTCAATCACAAGCCAGCCCATGTTACCTAGCTTGGCTCACTGCAGAATTAGGCAAACTACACACACACACACACACACACACACACACATTATTATATCATTATGTCTAAATCAAATGTAAGTCTGTATATTTTCAGCCACCGGCTGCAACTCTATTAATAAACCGTTTATTATTATTATTACACACACACACACACACACACACACACACACACACACACATACACACATACAGAGCAAGAGAGAGAAAGATAGAAAGAGAAACTAATTCCCAGGGAAGTGAGATACAGTATTCATACCAACCCACCTCTCTCTTATCTCTTATCCCATCCTTTAAAATTTTACACACAAACACAAGGTTCCAGTATAATAATGAATAACATGTAATTTCTACAGAAAACATACTTCAGTGATGACTTCTAGTTTGTTAGATTTCTGGGTATTGAGGTGAATTCTCTTCTCCCTGGAAAAACATACTGTACATCTATAGAATTTTTCCAGGCATTGGTGAATGTTTCTGCATCAGACAAAAAGCACCGTTGGCACAGTCTCAACTGCAGTCAGACAGACACAGAGTGGTATTTATTCATGTAAACACTACTCTTAACATACAGTATATTGTAAATAAACAAAATATACTACAGTACAGTATACACTATACTGTACTCACCAGTACATGCTGTCATCACAAGTTTGTGTTACAGGCAGGCCAAATGGTGATATGATTTCCTGTACCATATACAGTGGCCCCTCGGTTAACGAAATTTCGGTTAACGAATTACCTTCCATAAGAATCTTCAATTTGGTTAACGAACAAAAATTCGGTTAACGAAATTCATACGAAAACCTGTCAACATGTTTTGACTTGCTCACCAGCTGGAAGATTAGTCCGCCAATACAGTAATCGGTTCTAGGGCTTATATTCGTTTTCATTGGAGTAAATATCAAGAAGGTTGTGTTATTCAATATTTTTCCAAGTTTTATATTAAAATTATTAGTCGTTTTAACACTTATTTAACATAATTGCAGTACAGGGAACTAGTTTTTGGTGCGCCCATCAGCCACTTCACTCTGTTCAGTGGAGGAAACATCTTGCTTGTGGGTCTCTTGAACACGGAGTATTTTTACGTTTTTACAGTACAATTATTGGTCATTCTGAAATTTATTTAACATATTAACAATATATAGAGCAGTGCAGTGTTGATTTAAAGAAAATAATCTTGAATTACACCTAGTGAACTTTAAATTTTATTGGTGAAATGACGGCATCAAGCATGGGGTGATTTCTCTTCCATCCCCACTTCCTTCTCTTGTCCCTTCTCCTCCACCCCCACTTCTAATTCCCATCATCATCATCAACCAGGAGCCTTCTACATACACACCTCAAAGTAAGTGTACTTTACTGCATTTTTTTTTATACTTTGTATGTACTTTTCGGTGAGCTGGAACCAATTACCCAATATCCCATTGAAACAATGGATTCGTCGATTGTTTTATACTTAGTCTGTATGTACAGTACCCAAATATGATGTACTGTACAATATAAATACAGTATAGTATTAAAAGCATCTAATATAATATTAATGTAACCATTATAAAAGTTCCTGAGGAATGTTAAATTTCTAGCATGCCTAAACACACCAGACACCTCTCACACGACTTCATACTATAGTGCGTTTTTTTTCATCTGAGAAAAGATGCCCCGCCCCCTTCTCAAGAATTACAGCTGATTGGCGGTTTCAAACCTGTCCGATTTTGTCCTGAAGTAATGATGTATTTCTAAATGAGTTTATTCATATTCGTTGGGGTGACCGTTTCTGACGAGAAAGATATTTAGTTAAATTATATAAAGATACATACATTCATTATTTCAAACGTAAGTACGTAGGAAGTTTATGAGAAGTTTTATGCATGAATTAACTGTTAAACTCTGGTAGAAAATTCACGTTTTTGGAGGATGCATTTAATATATGCTTATTTTTACCAACAATAAGGCATATTAAGACAAATTACATATCAGTAATACTACATTTTACAAAAACTAACATTTTAAAAGATTTAAATCACATTGAAATATATACAACACGGCCGTCAGCAGAGGCGGGAAATGCGACTGCGAACAACTTCATATTTCCTGCACTGATCTGTTGTCTAAGTGCAAACATAGCCAAATTGAGTCATCATGCGACACAGATCAGCTGGGCAGTCACCAGCTGACTCCAAGGGGGGGTGGTGTGCGTGCGTGCTTGCCTCACAAGCGAACGGACCTGGGTTCGAACCCTGGGCAGGGTGAAACTATGGGCAAGTTTCTTTACGCCATTCGCCTTTGTCTACCCAAAAGTAATTAGGGACCTGGATTTTAATCGATTTATGGATCATATTCCAGGGTAATGGTTAGCCACTGCAGTTGGCGATTTGTCCGGTCTTCTCGGACTACAGTATTCCTTGACACTGGGTCATGCAGCTCGTTAACTTAGGGTGTGGTTGTTGTGTTGGCGACAGCTTCTACTTCTTCGTCATATTCACGCCTAGGTGGCCCTTGGGCCGGCCATCCTCGTTACACAAGGGGCAACCATTATTATTATTCTGTGATGCCACATTTTGGGGAGGAGCTGAGTGGGTGGAGATTGCCAACTGGCAAGTCAAGGTGTAGTTACAGCTCAGTGCTCACTGCCTCCACACATATGTTCATTTCCCACCCATGCACTTCGGTTTTCTTACTTTTTAGTTATAGATTACCGGGTATATTTTCTTTATTTTTAAGCCACATTCGACGATTGTAAGTTTTACTATTTTGCTCTGTACAGGTATTAGAGAAAATGGTTTTACTAGGGTAGACTAATATCCTGAGTGATTTACATTCCATGGGAAGCATGTGTTTTCATGTTTATTTACATACTCAGACTTGAATTATACAGTACATAGAAAAACAATTATTTTTTAAAATTTGTTACTTTTTATTACAATAAACTTACTCCATATAAATATCAACACCATCTCTGAAACATTTATCATTTCTAATCTAAAATATTATGACAAATATGAAAATCCTGGTAGCAATGGTACCATACCCTAATTTTTCCATAAGGTTTTAAATTCAATACAGTGGTCCCTCGGTTAACGAGCACAATTCGTTCCAGAAGGTTGCTCGTTAACCGAAACTATTGTTTCAATGGGTTTTTGGGTAATTGGTTCCAACTCACCGAAAATTACATACAAACGAAAAATAAATGCAGTAAAGTACACTTACTTTGAGGTGTGCATGTAGAAGGCTCTTGGATGATGATGATGATGATGGGAATTAGAATGGGGGTGGAGGAGAAGGGAGAAGAGAAGGCATTGGGGTGGAAGAAAGGTCACCCAATGCCGCCATTTCACCCATAAAATTTTAGTTCACTTGCTGTAATTCAAGATTATTTTCTTTAAATCAACACTGCATTGCACTATATATTATCAATATGTAAAATATATTTCAAAATGACCAATAATTTGACTGGAAACACAGAAAAAAAGTGTTTATGTTGAAGAGTCTCAAACAAGATGTTCCTTCCTCTGAACCTGTAAACAAACTGACACCAAGCTTGGTGTGTTGAGTGGCTGTTTGGCGCACATAAAACTAGTTTCCTGCACTTCAATTATGTTCAGTACTTGTTAAAATGACTAAAAAATTTAATATAAAACTTTTAAAATGATTGAATAGTACAACCTTCTTGATAATTACTAAAATGGTAAGGAATTTAAGCCTTAGAACCGATTACTGTATTGGCGGACTAACATGACAGCTAGTGAGCAAGCGAAAACATGTTGAGGGGCGCTCGTAAGGAATTCGTTAATCGAGGGATTGCTCGTTAACCGAAGTGAAGAATATGGAAGGGGATACTGGGTATAAGTGTATACGTGTACTGTACTTAGAGTCTTAAGAGTTATTTTAGAAAGTTTCTTGGAAAACATAATGGAAGTCAGTGAGTAATTAGGTTTTGAGTAATGTAATTTTGAGTTTTGGACAACATATCAGGAATGTAACCCTGCTGTCTGTGGGCACCTGTACCCAGAAGGGTGGTGTGTCTGACTGATTGGTTATTAAGTAGTTTCACACATCAAATTAGTTTTATTTTCTTGACAGATTGCACCAAAATGCACATTATTATATATGTGTGCATATTGCTGGGGCCCCTATTAAGCCTTTGTGCCTATGTCCTTTGTTTTATGCTTGTTTCTGTTATCTCATCATTATCATCATCATTGTTTACTGGCTATTATCTCTAAAAGGTACAGATTTGTTTCAGTGTACAAGTGAGGAAGGCTTGGGACAAAAAAAAACCAGCCCCAGCAAACCTGGCTGACATGGGACTTGTCTACCATCTGGAGAGGGATGTACCCGTGGAGAGTAAGGTGAGGTGTAGTGTGTCACTGATGCAGAATTAACAATTGTGCCTTATGCAGTTACAATTCATGGTTAAAGATATACAGTACTGTATATATCAGTATAAGTAGCAATTGATATTCTTAACTACCCAACTGTATTAAAATAGAATCAGCACAATAGTATATGTCTCAGTAATCTGTCACCATTATGCAGGCAGTAAATTAGCAGTATAATTATAGTATCTCCATTAGCCGGAAACGCTCAAACCCGGAACTCTTCGATAGCCAGAATTTAAATTTTCTCTGAAAATCGTTCCAAAGCTGGAAAATTCCAGCTTTGGGAACGATTTTCCAGAAAATTCTAAGAAAATTGTCCCAATTTCTGGGTTTCTGAGATGAAAATTAGGTGCATTTTCTGAAAATTCTGAGAGAAATTTTTCCAGTGTGTACCCGGAAATTCCAGAAAATTCTGGGGATGGGGGTTATTTTTCCAGATTCGACAGATGATGTAATGGACAATTTCTGGAACTTCCGAGAACATTTTTCCGTTACCTAGAATATTTCAGGGATGAGAGATTTTTCCCGGCTTTGAGAGAGTCATCTCATTACCCAGAAATCTCTCATTCCCGGAAGTGAGCTGCACCAATTGTTCCGGCTAACGGAGATATCACTATCACTGTGCATTATTTGAATATAAGGCTGTATTCCGTTCATTTGAAAGAAGTTGTGTGTCTTTTTATTTTTAATAAGATACAGTATCTCCTTTTCTTGTGTATTTAATATATCTTAATGGATCTTGACCAAACATGTAAAACAAATACCCCTGTACTGGATGTCAGGGGTTAATGAACAAGACCACATTTAATGGATAATGAAATGCTTGTGTACACAATAAATGCATAAGGAGTTCTTCACCTCTTTCATTTTTTGGGGGGTCTGCCACTTGCTGTTATCTGTATCCTGTTGATGCTTCACCTCATGAAGTTTCGCTGCAACTTAGAGAGTCTGACTTATTACCAAGGTATATAAGAGTTTCCATTTCCCATTTTCCATGTGGTGTTGGAGCTTGAGATGGAACTGGCAATAGAACTTTATTGCTATCCTTATCATCTCTTAGGCCACTCAGATCCCATCAACCCCTTCCTTCTTTCCTCACATCATGATAGTCAGCCTTAGGTAGTTGTGCATGAGACAGGTTGGCTCATGGGGTGACTTGTGAGTATTGTTTTGGCTGTGGGCAGTGACACAAATTTCCTCTCTAGATGAAAGTGTCGCCCGGGTGTTATTTCATGGCTTTGAGATGAAACCTTGATTTTGTTTTATTCCCTAGGCATTAAGGTCCACAAGTAACATGGTCAGCTACAGTACATAACAGTACACTAACTGTATGAACACATTTGCTACTGCTAATATCCCTTGGGTTTTCTGTAAGTACAATTTAACACAATCTTAATTTTTTCCTTTTGATTTACAGACACAAAATGAAGAGACATCTGAAATGCCACCAAGAAAAAGAATAAAAAGAGGAAAAGAGGAGAAACCAACAGAAGTGGTAAGCAAAGTTGTTTATGTATTGATTGTGTAATAGCATTTTGTTTGACATTAAAATTTTACTAAAGATGCTGCTGGGGGCTTTGTTACAGAGGAGGAACAGATGCATTAGTTTGTTGATGTTTTTATTATTATTAAATTTTGTGCATACGCATATCTTAGATATACTTTTTTTTTTAATGGGAATTAGCCCACCCGGGTACAGGTCACTGACCCACATCGGGGCCTGGGGGAAGAAAATGTAATAATAATAATAATAATAATAATTCAGGTAAGTAAATTTATAATAAAAAATACAAAAATATAATTAAAATATTAATGATAATAATAATAAAAATAACAACACTGCAATAATAATAATAATAATAATAATAATAATAATAATAGTAGTAATAATGTTATAATAATTATAAAGAAATACAAAAATTTAAAAAAGATCAAGAGTGAGAAACAATATATGTATGTTGTGTTATCAAAGTATAGAGAATCAGTTGAGACCCTGCAATTGTGTGCAAATGAGACACAAAGTCAGATCAGCAACCTGGAACTTGGTCACAATTTTTATTATTTATTATTATTATTATTATTACAATTTTTGTGCTGCCATAAGACAGTAGGGTCTACCATAGACAACACATAATGCTCCCAATATCTTCCCAGGCTGTAGTACCTCCCTGTTTGATAGCTGCTTACTACCTCCTACCTACATACGTACAGGGTGATCCCCAATTATGATGCACCGATGTACGAGAACTAGAAATTACAAAAAAGAAATTGTACCAAGCTTGGTGTACTGTAGTGTACTGTACTGTGTATATATATATATATATATATATATATATATATATATATATATATATATATATATATATATATATATATATATATATATATATATATATATATATATATATATATATATATATATATATATATATATATATATATATATATATATATATATATATATATATATATATATATATATATATATATATATATATATATTTTATATATATATTATATTATATTTTTTTTTTTCCCAATATCAGAACTGCCTATGAAGTATAAAACACAGATTTTTTTTTTACTTCTAATACGAAACCAAAACCGTCTTCCTCACTTTCTAGCTCAAAAACTTTCCCAGGCCAGAATTGTGCAAAACTGTACAGGACATACCATTAGATGTGAAAAATTACGAGGTTGCCAATGATGCAAGCAGATTTTTGCTGACTAATACTTTTCTGTAAATTATGAAAAACTAAAGAAAGAAAGGTAAAAGCGCAAACATTTTTTGTTTCTTTTTTTCGTACATATGCTATACTGTAACTATTATCAATTGTATTGTAATGTGTAGTTTTTTTAATAGATTGGTATTTCTGGTCTTCCTATAGAATGTATGGTTTGGTAGTAGTAATTGAATTTACCAAAAAATAAGATATGGGAGTAACTTTCCTCGTTCCCCCTACTGCATACGTAATTGTAAATCTTATATAAACCTCAATGACTGTGTGGGTGTGAACTGTATTGGATCTTTAGTGGATATGATATGGATGTTTAGTGGATACGATGTGGAGATAATGTGGATGTTTAGTGGATATGATGTGATCTGTGTGATACACAGTCAAGGTCAAGTAAGTTGCATCCATCATTGGTCTCATTGTATTTGCACATCATCATAACTTTAAATTCAGTTTTATATATTGATTACCTGACTTTTTTCCCAATTCATTAAATTATTTTTACATGCTAAACTAATTATTTCTTATTATTATTATAATTCATAATTAGTAATACTGTCTGTCTAAACAATCCATTGGCATCCATCCATAACATCTTGAGAGTAACCGGCATTTATTGATGGGGGGGGGGATACTTTTTTCATCAGCAAGACGTCTTTCTTTATTTGATCTTTATTTAGTAAACCTTTTAAAACTTATTTAATGAAACATACAGTAATGAAAGCCATATCATCTCCACTAAACACCCACATTATATCCACTAAACATCCACATCATCTCCACTAAACATCCACATCATCTTCATTACACATCCACATCATCTCCACTTAACATTTACATCATCTTCATTACACATCCACATCATCTCCACTAAACATTTACATCATCTTCATTACACATCCACATCATCTCCACTTAACATTTACATCATCTTCATTACACATCCACATCATCTCCACTATACTACATTTCCACATCCTCTCATTACAGAACCTGTAATGCACGTGTTTCAGTTCTTGGTTTAAACTGAAATATGCCTAACTAGATAAGTTTCCAGACACACTATTGACAACCATCCACTGACATGACACATATGTTCACCTCTTGTAGAGAGTAAACACAATGTTCTTTTTTTTCTTCTCATTTTATAGTCTTATATGATATTTGTTTTATTTCTAGATCACATTAGAGTGATGAAATTATTTTCCAACAACTTATATTTTTTATTATTTTTTTTTTATTTTTTTTTTTTTACATGTAACAATGGCAACATACAAAACCATCACACAGGACACAACTGACTGATGACATGTGTTATGTTTTGAGTTGTGCACTGTTCCGATTGACTGAAATCCAAACAAACAACAATGGCCATGCATTCTTGATGGATTCCATTAGCTTTCTTTGTTTATTATTATTATTTTTCCAACTTAGGTCAGACTGGGACTCATTCTTGTATCTCAGATATAATAGAAATTGACATAAACGATTTAGTTTAAATCACACAAGATGAATTCATACAGCTGCTGTATGATGTTTTTGTCTTGTGTTCTCAAACTATAATTTATATAACCAAAAAAATCTAATATTGTGACAATTTATCTGGATTAAAAATACCACACTTTTTCATATACTGCATACCCCCAAAAAATTTGGTATTGGACGAATTTTTTGGGTTCGTTTTACTGTATAATACTAAAAAGCTCCCTATAACCGAACTGGCTGCTCACCAATTATTTCGGTACAGAGAGGTAATACTGTATAGTACGGTATATACAGTATTGTATGCTGTATTATTGTAAATATGTACGGTAAGTATATTTCACTGTTTTATTAATGTTTTTCACCGTTCTATGTGTATTTAAAGAAAAACATAATGAAATACCATATATGGTTGTGTTTATAGGCGACAAGTATTCAAACATACAATACTATGGCTGCTAATACTATTTGTGGGGATCTGTAGAACCTAACCCCTGTAAATAGCAAGAGTCAACTGTATTCGTAAATTATATAAATTATGTACAATAGTAGTGTAGAGTTGTAAGAGAATGTGTGCAACAGTCAACTGCTGTGATTGGCTGGTGAGACTGGGGGCGTCCGGGCAGGAATGGTGAGTGGCATATGAAAATTTTGCACCTCTTTGTTTAATGACATTAATTTCTCCACTGGTTTTAAGGCCCTAAATGCCTTGCAGTGTTTTCAACATTTGAAGTTAGCCTACAGAGAAATTACAATGCTGTGGAATTTTCAATTCCTCATGAATCTCCTTAGCCTTATCACAAAGCATTTGTCGAGAAATTGCAGTTCTTTCTTATTCATATAGCATTTCATCCAGGCATTTGCTTATACATTGTCCTTGCTCCGGTGTTTGCAAAATTTCTGCGCATGAAAACTCATTTCTATCACTTAAAGATATTGATCTCATGATCAATTTGAGATAGTCATAGTCTTAAGAAATCATGACAGACATACACTAATACTGACCTAAATTGCTATAATTGGTGCTGCACATTTACTTTATTGTAAACATTATTAATACAGATACTTTAGGCAATTGTTCTTTTAGTAACAATTACTGTATTAAAAATTTCTTAAATGTGATCACCTGAGGATTAGGCCCTAGCTTAATTCTCCTTAAGTTTAGCCATCCTAATGCTAACCTGACTTAATGTAACAGCTTAACCTTACCTAGACTGATCCCCCCCCCCTCTCAGAGCATTAATCATCAGGTGAAATAAGCTGGGAGAGAGGGGGGAGGGTGGCTGCTCTTGAGATGATCCTTCAAGTTTTAATGAAAATTATACCGAGTACACTAATAAAATGATTTATTTTTTACCTAGGTTAAACAACTAGAAGAGGCTATCAATGAGGAGTACCGCCGTAAAGAATCTGCTGGCATACGCTTGACTAATGCTCAGGTAGAATATGCTACTGCAATGCTGGACAAATATGGTGATAATTACAAGGTGAATATATTGTAGTGAATTTTTTGTTTATGGTCATAGATGCTATCAACAGTGGTTAATGGAGAAAATTTTAAGGTATATTTCTGACTGGGGATGCAGAGTCTTCCTTTAAACACTTTGATGCCTTACACCACCTTCTTTTATGCGTCATTGGTACAGTATTTTGAATATGCTTAGGGTCAAGTACTTCATCCGTCACTAACCCAGCAAAATCAGCAGACATATGTTCACTAGCCTTTAAAAATATGGCAAGTTTATGAGTAATTGCTTTCACTGAAACTCCCACTCCTTATAAATTTCTGCAAAATTTCTAGACATATGAAAATAGCAGGAGTCTCAAGTACATATAGGTATCTCTCTAGATACGAATTGGTTATATTCGAAAGAAAAAAATTGTTGGGTGAATTTACATATCACGAGTAGATAAACATGTGGAAAAAACAGTGTTTAGTTTTCCAGTGATAAAATACCCTAATATCATACCACAAAAACACAAAATTGGTTCACAAACTAGAACAAAATTTTCCTAATTAATGATAAATAGTATATATAGTAACTACTGTACTAAAATTTACTACCTAACACTGGTACATTATCTTATGGGAGGACAGTCTGGGCTTGGGGATGAGCAGGGGTAGGCTGAGTAAAGGCGGGAACACATTATTATCATGTCATGTGAGCTCGTGCAAGCTCACGTGGCCTCAAAACCGTGAAATCGGCAGTAGGATTCACATTTGTATCACGTCACCTCACGGTATTTTACAAAGCTAGGATTTTTTTTCACCAGCTTATTCATGAACACTATAATAATAGCTAATAGTATATTTAATATACTGTAAATGTGCTTATTATTACAGAATTGAATGTTATGTTAGTCACTTAAAGTTTATAACATCATTTATTAAAATTTCAGTGTCAATGTATTACCATTATTAAAAACAAAAACAAAAATTTGTTCACATTTTGAAATAGATGAAACCAGTCAAATACCTATGGTCTTTGTAATTAGGTGACTTCGTATTATACAGAACTTCTTGTGCTTTAATGTTTTCTATGAGTAGTTCTTCCATTGCTAGAGAAGCACTGTAAATAGAACCTCACACTATCACGCACATCACATATGTGTGCTGGAACAGAAAATGTGAGAGGTGAGCTGACAGAGAGCTCACATGATATCGCGTTATTCGCAGCCGTGACAGCAGTGTGTCTCAAGCAATGCAATAATACACATTATTGGCCTGCACACTTCTCATGGTCACGTGAGCTCACGTGACGTGATAGCAATGTGTTCCTGTCTTAAGGGCTTTACTCGGCGAGATGAGGAGGGTTCTCCACCTCATCACTGCTGTCTGCCAAGGACACCACAGTCCTTAACATGCTTGTAAATTTTGGCTACAGTAGAAGCGGCCAGACCAAGATCTTTCCAATTCTTGGTAGGGTGATCACCACATTCATGACATTTAAGTACTGACAATTTTGTCTCAAGAGTCACAGCCTTTTGTGATTTCTTTGGTGTATTACGGGTAGCCAAATGTTCAGCAGAACGCTTGGATGCTATAATGAAAGGTACATATAACAAAAGGATGGCATGAATACACACGCATAAAAAGAGATCACTTCACATACAATGAATGGAAGGATGCGGGAGGGATAGAGGGGTGTATGATCAGTGAGCGAGGAGAATACATCTGCAAATCTCTTCCGGCTTGCCATGCCTTTCGCACAGAGGCTGCTGGGCTTGTTAGTAGTGACGCCAGCATCACTAGTATAAACAATCGCAGCTGGCGGGCCCTTTGTTTTCATGCATCTGAACAGGGAAAGGAGAAAACTTTCTGGTTTCTTACAGCATTTTTGCATCTCTATTCAACATGAGCAAGAGACCAAGTGATGGTAGTGTTGTTTCAAAAGCTAATAGAAAGTGTATAAGCTTAGCCGAGAAACTAGATGTGTTAAAACGATATGAAAAAGGTGAGAGGTCTGTGGATATTATATGGAGCAAGCAATTAACATATTTTCTGAAGTAGATCCATTAATAGAACAAAGCATTAAAATTTAAATAAATGCAAATGACCTCTGCAAAAAGATTTATAATGAGAAAAGAAAGCAGCTGTACAAGGTTCTTTCGACAGCTTTATTATTCGAAGGCCTAAACCATGAACTTCAGCTACACCATCAAATTCAGCATCATAAGCAGCTTCAACAACTTCAGGTTCAGTAACAGTTTCAGCAACAGGTTTATGGAAAGCTACAGCTTCAGCCAGAGTTGAACCTGATGACTGTCATCTGAATAAAAACTCGCACAATATTCATTGGCTGTCCTTATGTTTTAGACTTTACCACCATTGGTGAGTAGAATTTTTGTTTTACATTCGTAAATATTATTTAAAACATATATGAAAAGTAAATAAGTGTTACTTTCATATTTATATGTAGAGAAATGACGATATGTTTTCACATGTACACACTTAATGTACATACATTGGCGTTCCCAATCGTCTCGCTTTATTTCTTTACCATTAGTGGTTAGCTACTTCTAGTGTTCAATTTATTAACATTAAATAACATTACTTAAAACATACATACAGGTATTAAATTGTTTTACATTAAGTTCACTACAGCTACAACCAAGGTCTTATTTTCTTCAGCTTCTTATAAGAACATAAGAATGGAGGAAACTGCAGCAGGCCTATTGGCCCATACTGGGCAGTCCCATTTAAACCCAACGCCTATTGCTCATATATCCATCCAACCTATGTTTGAAGCTATCCAGCGTATTCGAGTTAATGATGATATTTGGTAACTTGTTCCGCTCATCCACTACTCTGTTTCCAAACCAATGTTTACCTATTTCGCGCCTAAATCTAAATTTGTCTAATTTAAAACCATTGTTACGAGTTCGCTCCTGGTTGGATAGTTTGAGTACCTTTGTAATGTCCCCTTTGTTCAGCCCTGACTTCCATTTATACACCTCGATCATATCGCCTCTCACTCTACGTCTCTCGAGGGAGTGCAAATTAAGAAGTTTTAACCATCGTCTCCTCTTGTGTGTTTTAATATTTTACGTATTATTAATGAATTGTATTGTTCATTTCGCACATATAAAGATTAATTCAATCAAATGCATATTCAGTAATAAACAACAATGAATCTTTTGTACATATTCTTAAAAAGATAAATGCGCATGTATATGTGGGCGGTCCCAATCCATCTTATTTTTGTTGTTGTTTACCATTAGTGGTTAGCTACTTCTATTGTTCCATTACTTAAAACATATATATTAATTTGTTTACATTAATTTTACTACAGCTACAACCAGGGTCTTATTTTCTCATGTAGAACTATTGTCCCGAACTCCTGGCTGTATGCACAAATAAAAACAATGGAGTCCCATCTCTTGTGTGACCATATTATTAATCATTTATATTGTATAAGGTGCATTCAGAAACATTATTTAAACAATGTATTTTGCAATTTTCATTAATTGTATTGTTTTGGGAGGAAAAGAGCATAAAAAGCCACACAAAGACATGAAAAGGTCACACTTAGGAATGCATCTCATTATTATTGCTTTATTTTAATGGTAATTAATGATTCGCAATACGATGATTCACCTTACACTGCAATATTGGAGGAAACATTACCGTCATTATTCGAGGCTTTACTGTACTGTAATCTCCTCATTAGCCGGAATAATTGATGTAGAGTGGTTCCAGGTTTAAGAGATTTCTGGGTACTGAGATGAATTTTCTCATCCTTAGAATTTTTCCAGGCACTGGTGAATGTTTCTGCATCAGATTGCAGTCAGAGCTGTATTTATTTATGCAAACATTACTGTACTGTGTACACTATGCTGTACAGTACTCATTAGCAGATGCTGTAGTCTTGAGCTTATATGATGTAGACAGGCCAAAGGATGATATGATACAGGATGACCTGTCTTTGTTCTGTACCATCACCTGTAGCAGGTGTTATTAATTGTCTCTCTCCTCTTCCTACTGAAGGAGGGATTGTACACACACTGTATATCCTTTACACACTAGCATATACTGTCCACTCTGCTATGTACAGTACTGTATGGTACATATATTACTTTCACACTTATCGAATATACAGTACAGTACAGTATGTGTAACTGCAGTCACTTTATATGTATTAATGCTGGTTTAATGGTATTCTTGTCTGTTTGTATCCTGATACAGAAATGTACTGTACTGCATAACACAGATCATATGTGAATATAGCAACAAGTGAACAAAATTATACAGTGGAAGAAGACAATGAATTAAGAGTGTCATGTTGCTTGAGTATGAGGTAGGCTGTGAGATACATCAACCAATCATAGGCAGACCATGCAGTCACATGACAGTAGTAGCCAATCATAGCTAAGGAGTACGCTGAGACTACCCACCCACACAATCCGCACGTGTTGGTACGTGATGCAATCTCTCGGAAATACATTCGAATGCCCAGAACTGAGAAATTTTCCACAAAATTTCTCAACTAACAGAGAGATTACTACTGTACTTAGATTCAGAGTTAGAAGAGACTGGCACTGGTCCTTTACCACTTGGTGTACTGTACAAGGAGATATAATGTTTGGTTATGTTATACAGCATATTCATATTACTCATTACTACTTGTCAGGTGAATGGGATTTGTATCAGCTTAAGTTGGTTTCCTCTCTTCCCCTCAGTTTGTTGGGTTTACTTACGTGCTGTGTTTCTTGAGCACTTGAAGTTATTAGTGCTTCTTACACTTCTTTTCTTGATGGCTTGGATATACAGAGTTACTCTAGACAGCAACTAGTATAGATTGACTCGGTTCCTCCTCCTCCTTCCAACGTGACAGCTAAGTGTTCTGGAAACTGATGTGACTCGGCTCTTTTGGTTTTCTAACAATCAAACAATAAGGGATTGTGGAGCAATCACATACTTGTGCTCTCAGTACTTCATTCTTTTCAAGGACCTTTTTACCAAGTATCTCTTTTGTTTGGTGGATCCAATTTGAAGGCGATCAATTTAACAATTTAGCTATTTGATTTTTAGATTCCCAGTCTCACATTCATGTCCTTGGAAACTTGTTTTTTCTCCCTATAGACCTCCTTACTGTATAGAATTACCCTGTCCTGACTTAATTAGATAACACAATTTCAAGACCAGTCCTTCATATTCAATGAATGATATGAAAACATATTGAGATTGATCTGTGATGATGTTAATTCTGAATTTAATCCCGTGTGTATGGGGCTCCCTCTGTGCTGAATAAAATTGTGTGGCATTAGCCAAATAAGATACAGGGTATAAAAAGTGGCATCCCCATAGTGAAAGGGTCAATAAAAATTTATAGATCAGTAAATAGAGAATTCAAGTTACAGTATTGTTTTAGATCATTATTGTATGTATTTTCATGTAAGAAGAAAACTATAAGAATTAGAATAATTATTTTGCTATATTATACAAAATAATATTTTTTGTGAATAGTACAGTAATTATTTTGAGTAAGTATGTAATTATATAATGTGTGACAGAAACAAATATATGACTGACGATACAGTATATTTATGATGATTTATTCCTTTAATAGTTTTCTTTATAATTATTTTTCTCTTTTTTTCTCACACAGGCAATGGCAAGGGATCGTAAGAATTACTTTCAAGACACATGGAAGCAGATCAGAGCCAAGATTAACCTGTTTACCCAAAATCCAAAATATTATGCTCCATATTTGAAACAGAAAGGATTATTTAAGCCAGAGCTCTTGAAATCCCAGGAGAAATAATAAAGAATATATTTATGTACAGTATTTGTATTATTGACTTACAGTACTGTTCATCCTATTTTACAAATACTGTACTGTGTGCATCTCTAATCTTACTGATTTTTTCTGCATTCTTAATTGTGGAACCATCCAGAGCAAACTAGAGGGTACTGTACAAGGTAATTAAGTATTTAAAATCACTTAAAAATACAAGACATCGCTGACCTAAATTGATCGCTGGCCATGCTAATTTCTTCACAGCTAATAAGACAGTCAACCAATTTCTCTTCTATAATGTATTTCTGATTTTCATCTGTATTGTACTTGCATTAATTCCTAAGCTTGTGTATATAACTTTGTACTGTATTAAGTTAGCTAAGTTAAATCTCCATGTTCTTTACCATACTGTCATGTCCTGTTGTGGCTTCACTACTGTACAATATAATTACCAAGATTACAAACAAGCTCTCATGATTTTAGCCTTTATGAACCACCTGAAAATTAGCCCCCCCAAGTACTCACCTGGTGAATCACTTCCCTCAGCTTAACCAGCCTGAAGTTTAACCACCTCAAAACTCTCTGGGGGGATATTGTGCATCACCCTAAATTACCAAAATTCTTCATTATTGTGCATTCAGACTCAAATATTGCCCAATTGACAACTAGTATTTACAGTGCACAGTCCAGTATTCATACAGGGTATTTTGTGTTGTGACCAAATGGATTGTTATACAGTGAGTTCTGCTATAACGCGTGTTTTGATAACGCGAATTTGCTCTAACGCGATTTATGAATTAGGAACGGTATTTGTATAACGCGAACGCTTGTTTGCTATAACGCGATTTTTGCTTACTATTTCTCCAATTTTGTGGTACTGTATTAACTGTGAATATAGTAAAGAAGAATATCAACAAGAAGCGTTCTGGTGATAGAATTCCGGTGATGATCATAAAAGAAAGGATATAACACTTGAAGAGAAGCTCGATTTTATCAACCTCAAAATCACCCTTCTCCCCCATCAAGTAAAGTGTTACATTTACTGTATGATTTCATTATTAGATATGAATGTAACATTTATTTAGACTGTGTTAGGCTAACTACTAAATTTTTTCGATTTCGAGTAATCTGCACCTAACCCTATTTTCTCCATAAGCCCTGTTATTTCTATTACGCCATTTTCTATAACACGATATTTTACAAGAACACAATTATCGCGTTATAGCAGAACTACCTGTACCTTAATGTACTGTGAGCAAAAAGAGAAAGGAGAATTTAATGGATGTCGCTATAGGGGATGGTGTTAAGAAGCAGCATGCTATAACTTTTAAGGAAAAAATAAAGGAATCCCCTTCAGTATCCCTGAGAGATCTGCCCTTCGATCTCCAAGCAATAATTTGTTCTCATCTGTAATTACTCCTCAAGTTCAGTATGCAAGTTTGATACAGTAATTTATGGTAGAAAATAGAGATGTCAATACTGTACAATATTTTCACTGTAAAGGTAGCAGGAACCATTTAAGAGTCAAAATTAGCATGTGAAGTTCGTAAGAAACATGAAATTAGGATGAAAATGTTCTTGAAAATATCAGTCATGCTGCTACTATGCCATAATTACCATAAGTTTAATGTTTATGTAATTGAGGTTACATTCCTATGGGCTATTTATATGATATTCTCACATGAATGGTACTGTACAGGATATCAAAAAAGTATCTGTCTACACTCTGTGTGAAGCATTATGAGACTACAGATGATAGATACTGTATTGGGATATGCCCATTTCTGCCATTTATAGTTTAACATAAGTAATGCAATGTGTATTTATTTTGGCATTATTAATATCATGTTTGGTTACCAAATGTACTAGGTTCAGTATGCCACAGAACCACGCATACCAACCCTTCCAGGACATCATGAGTTGCAAGTAACATTTTGAAAGTCATTGGACCCATCCTGGCAGATACTGAGATACTGAATCTCTTAAAAACACATATGACTTTAAACAAATCCCTTTGAAGTTATTTTTTGTATGAAAAATTTGTAAATATCTGAAATAGTTTAAAGCAATAAGAAACTTCTAAGTTTACTTCAAACAAAGTTGTTTAGAAAAAAATTGTAAAACAAAATTAGACCCCCCAAAAAGTCAGAAATTATATTAAACTCAACCATAGGGCACTAGTAATATCTACAACAGTGGTTCTCAACCTTGTTTGCCCCATGCACCCCTTTCACCATATGTCAGAATGTCATTCCCCCCCTCCTTTCCAAGATTGTCTGCCTCAAAAAGTGCATTCCAAATAATATGCATATAATACTGAAAACCTTTATTTTTTCCATATAAGTACATATACATTTACAATTTTACATGGATTATTTTTATAGTGGAGTTTTACAAATTAAATGCCAATTGAAAATGTTGATGGATTTATAAAACTTGAATAAAAGTAAAATAGTTTTTTTTTATTTATAATGAATTACTTAACAGACCAAACTGAAGCATAATGCAATAAACAAAAAGTTCAATAGAATACCAGGATATTGTAAATTTGTAATTAATTTTATTCAGATGAAGATTACAGTCAATGAGAAACCTGTGATTGTTTTTTCTTCGCCAATTCTGGGATACGCGGAGGAGTGCTTGAAAGGGCACAACGCAGGTCATTTTCTACCTCTAATCTACTACGTTGCTTCGTTTTAATTTGCAACAGAGTTGAAAAGCCTGACTCACAAAGATATGTCGACACAAACGGAAGCAATGCACGGATAGCTCTTTCTGCCACTTTTGGGTAGGAATCGCACATCAAGGGCCAAAATTCTGTGATTGATTTCTCATCGAACATATCTCTTGCTCCCGAATCAGTTTCCTGAAAACCTGAATTCCCCCCCTGGTTGAGAACCACTGATCTACAACTTGTTCCTCCCTTTCAAAATGCCTTACCACATCCATTTTTACATCTAAACTAATCAGTGGAGCCATTTTATTTAACCGGCAAGGATTTCTCAGGAATTTAAAATTCATGACTTTATACTACGGTACTGTATCTTTCATGTAAAAGTATCCAAATGAGTGGCTGAATAGCGATGTTTAGTCAGCCATAAATGTCATAAGAAGATACCTGTAATGTAATTAGTGTAGCAGTAGCAAATTAGATTATTGTAGATAAAACTGTACATTATATCAATCTTGTACTGTACTGTACTGTATATTGTTGTCTTGGTTTTAGATCCATACTTATAACACTTTAAATTTGTCTCATAATTGGATGTCTTGTAGGGGTATTTGCATGTTGCATCAATCAGCTAGCTAGTGCAGTTGGTAACCTGGAGCAGACACTGCCAACACGATCTCCCGATACTGTTGTTATAATTGGCCACAGTTATGTTTGCTATCTATGAACAAATTTAAGACCCATTACATATACAGTACTGTACTGAATCTGATAATTTTGTAATTAATATGTACAGGTACTGCCAACATGGTGCATCCCTCAATTCTCTTCACAATATGAAGAACTGAAGAGATAGTGGGAAACAATACGTACCGTATTTGTTCAAGTAGGTGGTCTGGTAAATATTTGTGGTCGATGGTTTGGTATATTTTGTGGTCTTCTTGACTTGTCTGGCTTTTGTGTAACCACGATCTGGATTTGAAGTTTGTAACAGTGGCATACAGTATGTGAGCAAAGGTTTTTTGTGGCTACTAAGTTGCTGTTTGGTCATCAGTTAGTAGTTGAACAGCTGGTCGAGTGCATGCGAATTAGTATAAATTAATTTAATTTTCAACTATTGACTTAAAATTTGTGTTGAATTCACTGTGCCTGACTTGGATTTAAATGCTCTGAAGAGGCTTAAGGGTGTAGAGATATGTCATGCACCTGCTTGTTAATTGTTTATATACATGATAATTGATGTTCCTAGACAAGGAATGTAAATTTCATATAGCAAGCACAAATTACCAATGAATGACGATGTTTAAGATCAGCCTAGTCAGCACTGCAGCTCAGAATCAAATTAAGGCATAATATTCAAGGATGGGTAACAGAAATTAAGTACAGTAGAAGTCCAAAAATCCGGACTGCTTGGGGATTGGGTCGGTCCGGATTTTCGGATTTTCCGGTCTGAATAAATGTGATAGGCTAGGTTAGGAATTAGTGGCTAAGTAGCCACTTGCTAAAAGGTAAGGCCATATTTCAGGATGGATGATAATGTGCCTTTTCTTGTATAACTTTGCTTTTCTCTTGAATATGGCTAACAAGAGCAATGCACTGTTTAAAGGACAGCGGAATGCTCTGTTCATGGTTATCCATACTTCCCAAGCTTTCCTGCTCTATGTTGTGACTGCTGACTCCTGGCCACCCCTGTGTGACCCAACACCCTGATGGGGTAATGATATGGATCTTGACTTGCTAGTTTGATAGACAATTTTGGTTTCATTTTGCTCAATATTTGATGATTAATGCAATGTAGATTGTCGTTTTTGTGGAAATGCTATTTTTTTTTCAACTTCTGAGTTGAGTTTTTGTCAGTGGGAAAAGTTATCGACTGAAAATGATATCGTCCCAGCCCCTCTGAACTCTAGGATCATTTTCTGCACCAGCCACTCTGTGACAACACGTGACTAAGGTTAGGTTAGGTTATGATTGGTAAGGTTATGATTTGTTGCTTTTCAATGGAAAACGGTCGTAGTAATGTAAAAAAAATACGTTTTGTATTTGTGATTCTCAACCTGGAAGTTGAAAAATAAAAATTTTCACAAAAAGACTATCTCCGTTGCATTAAGCATCAAATATTGAGCAAAATGATACCAAAATTGTCTGCTAAACTTGCAACAGTCAAGATACAAATAATTACCCCCTGGTGAAGTACAACCTTCAAAACAAACCTCACAAACACCAGAGAATGATAATGTCTATATCCCATAGATATCCCTTTAACACATCTATGTTCGTATGGTGATTTGGTTACATTTTTTATTTTTTTTGAGGGAATTATTATTGGGGTACTCGATGCCTGGGTTGTGGCAAGCGCCGATTTGGAAATATTGGTAGTTTCGGGTGCCAGTTAGTAGGGCTCATCATCGGTCATGAAGACTGAATAAGGCCCTGAATCCAGCCTGAATGAGGGTCAGATTATATACTGTACAGCAGTGGTCCCCCAACCTTTTGTAGGCTCTGGGCCACATTTATCATTGTAAATAATATAGTAGTGAAGGGGGGCTAAAACTTTGGATCTACATTCAAGATACAAAAAACCTCACAGTATACAGTTACTTGCAGTTTTACACGAGTCTAACAGTTTATTCGTTACCAGTTACATACTTTTTACATATACTCTTTAATCATGTTAGCTCTCTCTGGCCCCGGTCTGGTAAATGCACACGTCCTGTACACGACCGATTCGGGACAAATGGGTTATTGCGCTATTTATCTAATCTTCACAACAGATTCCCAATTATTTCAAAATTTTATAATAAACCCTTGCGGGCTCCAGTTGAGGACCATTGCTGACAGTATAGGCCATGACGTAATTAAACACGTTAATAAGAACGCAAAGAAATTAAATAATAAGAAAGCTGAAAATGTAGTCAGTGGGTAGCAGAGTGAGAGCGGCGGCGCGGTGTTGGTGAATGTTGTTGCCGCAGAAACCTAGTAACCACATGTCCTCTAAACCGGCCGTCCGCACCGGTCCGATGGCCAATACCTCACTGCACAACCACACCTGCATCAAGTTCTTGGCCAGTCCCCTCCCACCCTTATTAACTGTGTTACCACTAAAAACTCTTGAGCGCTTTAATTAAACTGATCTATAGTCCGTTAAAATTAAAAGACGTGATTCACAAATGTCGGAGATAAGAGAGACTGGCAGTGATGTGAGGGTACTTGTAATCATGAAGTAGTGCAGGTCTACCGTGTGTATTGATTCTTGGTATTGTTGTGGTTACCAGCCATGACTCAAGTAAGTCGTACCTACAATATAGCTGTTATTATTTTTAAGACTTTGTGTAATGATATCTCGAACGCTTCTCTAAATGGGTGTTCTCTGAGGAAATTGTATCACGAAACAATTTAATACATAGTGTAAATATAAGACGAGGTTTACCATTTCATGTTTCAAGACAATCATTACAGGTACAAATATTTTTAAATCACCACAATGCACAAATAATAGTTAAGATCTATACAAATTATTCTCACATTTAAAACTCTGAGGAAAAAAAATATGTGTAGGTGGTACTCAAGGACCTTGATCTGTATGATAAAGATGTCGAGATCAAATATATTCCATTTTGAGGATTAGTTTGTTCGACACATGTCTTGATAAGGATGAGTTAGGTTAACACAGGCTCCCGTTACCTTAAACTTAACAACATTGTATTTTTACGATCTTTTCTGTTTCTATCCCATCACCGTAGTTGCACACACCTTATAGATAGTTTCCCCCTTATCATCATTTTTTTCATAAGAACCTAAGACTAAAGGAAACTGCAGTAGCCCTATTATTGACCGCGCGAAGCAGTTTTTGTTTACCTCCAACTATTATCACTCCTATAATCTCCAAATTATATTTTAAAATTTTCAACGAGTTCCAATAATAATGATTTTTGGTAAATCATTCCACCTATCGACAACTCTATTTCCAAAGCAATGGTGAAAAATATTTGGCTATATACCTCCAATATCTAAATTTCTCTAATTCAAACTCATGTCTCCGTGTTCGTTCCTGGTTTGATAATTTAAGTACAGCTGTCACTGGACAAAAAGAATTCGGCAGAGAGGGAGGAAGGTGGTGTATGGGAGAGTAAGGGTAGGCAAAGATTTGGCACATTGCACAGAAATGGCGATTGAAAGTGTGCGATTTCCTTTTCACACCACAAATGTATTATTGTTATTATTTTTTTTACTGTTTTGCGTGTATATTCATTTTACCCGATTACCTGATCAAATTTAATTTTTGGAGTGATTGCTGACGTGTTTGGGGCTTTTAGGTTATCCTAGAAAAGTTTCGGTATAATCAATATACTGTAAGTCTAAGCACATTATCATTAAATCTGAGTGATTCAAGCAATGTCGTTCTAGTTGAATATGAAGGGGTTGGGGTAACACCTCTAAGAATTATAATTATTATATTATAATAAGTAGCATTAGTAGTCGTAGTAATAGTAGTAGTAATATTATTGAAAATCCACAAATTAAAATTATTTTACTGCACGGTGCACAGTACGAGGCCTGTCCTACCGTCTGTCAATTCTCAGCTCGGGTCTACGAAGGCAGAGTTATAAATTAGAAGTTTTCATTCAGTGTACAGTAAATTATATAGTTATTTTCTACCTTTTGTGGATTCCACCACGAAATGCTAACCCACCGTCATTTTGTTTGATACAATGCAAACATGACTATTCAAGCGTTATCAGTTTGAAACTAATATGATTTATAATTGCGTATGAGATAGAAAGCTTATTGAGAGTGTGCGTAGCTAGTGTGTGGATCATTAAATTACAGATTTCAAATAAGAATGTCATGTATAAGAGAGAGAGAGAGACCTTATTTTTAGTGCTAAGGTGATTATGGAATCGACTGGATGTTATGACTCGTACACACACGCGCGGATTCTTACCCTTACAGTGTAATGGTAAGTTTGACAGATGATGGTGTAAGGCTTACAGTACACTATCATCCGTAAAATTTTCACTTAAATGGAGATGTGAGAGCCATCTATCATATCCAGTAGTGTGTCAACATTACACTGCCTAACCGCAACCAGATAATTTCTCTCATCTGTTTACAATAACAGTAATATAAGGAATTCTGATTGGGTATTCTTTTAGATTATGCCAAATTTTCTACATTACCTGGAAATGCAAGAACCCAACCAATTAGTTCACTTATATCAGAACAAAAATTGCGACTAATGATAGTGAGACTTTATCATAATTAATCAGATCTTCAGTTCCTATATTGGGGGAAAAATATGACTGTGAGATTCGTCTCTCTCTCTCTCTCTCTCTCTCTCTCTCTCTCTCTCTCTCTCTCTCGTGTATTAGCGTGTGTGAGAAGACTTATGCGAGTCATGTAAATCGTTCATTGATTCACCAGGTCTCACTGAACAAGGTCTAACAACATATAGATTTGACGTAATTTATCCTGTGAGAAGTTGGGAGGGATGAACATACTAAATATATATATATAATCAAAAGGAAAATGTGAATAAATATATTTTCAGAAATAAGTCCATTATTAAGAAACCAGACAAATGTAAACAAAATTAATAAATTTTTATTTTTATCAGCATTATATCAAAAAATTTCAGCTGTATTCAAGTTCAATTCAAGGGTCGGCGGGAGACGTGGTTATTTGGCGATAACATTCTTAAACATGAAAAACCGAGGCACGCCAGAACGATAACAATACAGTACTGTACTGTGTGTATATGGTGGGTCAGCCATGAGTATTGCATTCAGCTCCTGGTGGCGGCAAACTTCATTAACGCAAAGAAAACTAACTCAACGTAATCATCTTATTTTTTATATGCTTTAACTCTCAGGTTTTTAGGTTAGAATTTTTGTTTTTAGTTAGGATTTGGGTTTTAAGTTTTCATTTAGTTTTTTAGTTTTTTTTTTAGGATTTACAGTAGGTTGGGTTAAATTTGGTTCGGACAGATTGGTTTGGTTAAGTTAGGTTGATTAAAGTTGGTTGGTTAGTTAAGACAAAGTTAGGTCAGGAAAGGTCAAAGTTTAGGTGGGTACATTGCTCTTATTACATTTGGGATGTGATTTTGGGTAATATTCTTAAAGTATATTGTTTAACAGCATAACAGTGATACCCAAAATTAACAACAAACAATAGTGCTAGTATAAATAAATAGCCCTTATAATAATGTCAAATTCAATCGAATATAGTGACGTCATGCTTCTCCCGCCTTCGTTTTCCAATAATCCGCACAGCAGACTACAGTATATGCATGACCTAACAACATAATTCCCCAACAAAACCCATAACACCATCACTTATCAGGTGGCGCTGGGAGACTTTAGACTTTTATTATGTCCTTTTGTAAATAGCAGTGCTGACTTGTAAGTACTCTATCGCTAAACTGACGGCAACCCTTATTAGTGGATGCACATTGACACATTGTAATAATCATGATTAAGTGCTGTAAATTTTGATGATCGTAACTAATGGTTAGAATACGAGTAGTAGAGGTTTCTTGAAAAAAATGGCAAGAGGATTTAAAGGTAGAGTTCCATTGATGATGAAATATCCCCACACTGTAAGTGGTGGAAGCCCAAACTAATAGTTGTACTAACTTATGGTTAGTAATGGTTGTACCTTAGCAAATTGTTCAATATGGACGGATATGACTTATTTACGAACCTTTCCCAAGCTACTTTCAAAAGGGATGTGGTTATCTATGCTAGGCAAGATCTTGGAGCCAGCCAGGTGAAGGTACAGGGAGAGGACGTTTTTGAAGAATCTAAGTGGTGTAAAATCAAATTAAAGGGAAGAGACTTACTTATTGTCGGGTGTATCTACAGATCCCCAAACTGTAGTTTATTAAACCAAAGGAACTTAAGAGCCTTAATAGACAATGCAACGGTGCTGAACCCTAGCCACCTCCTTGTCATGGGAAACTTTAACTATGGCGACATCGACTGGACAAAGGAAACCACACCAAATTACTTAAATAACCCCGCTACACTTTTTGTAGAAACTCTGAAAGATAATTTTCTGTTCCAACAAGTTAAAGACCAGACTCATTACAGAGAGCAACACCCAAGCCTCTGGACCTCATTATAAATAACGAGGAGGGTATGATGGCCAAGCTGGAACATCTAGCCCCCGTTGGCACCAGTCACCACGTAACGTTGTCTTTCAGATTTAACTTACGTTGTTCATGGCAAAACCAGGCCAATGTTCAAATATTACATGGGCAATTACGACGAGATGAGGGAGGAGATGAAGGGTATCCACTGGTCTGACTCACTAAGGTATAAGAAAGCAGACACTACGCTGAATACCATAGCCAGTAAATTGAACCATTTGATCGATAAATATATACCCAAGATCAAACCCAGTGCCTCCAGGAATACAAGGAAACCGCTACACATGAACCATACGGCACTCTACAAAGTTAAGAAGAAAACTCAGAAATTCGAGATGTGGGTTAGGACAAACGATGAGCAGGACAGGAGGATGTATGCCAGATCCAGGAACCAAGCAAAGTCAGAGTTCAGAAGGGCTGAAAAAGCGTTCCAGAGGCGGATTGAGAGTGAGGTCAAGTCAAACCCAAAGGCGTTTTACTGCTACGCAAAGTCGAAAATAAAAACGCCACTTCCTGTGAATGCTTTCTAGGGATTCGATATCCATTCTGTAGTATGGTGAACCAAAACTGAACTGCATAATCCAAGTGGTCTCACAAACGCAAAATATAGTTTTAGGATAACCTCGCTAGTCTTGTAACTAACACTCTTTTGTATGAACTCAATACTTTGTTAACCTTATCTCGAACAAATACGTATTGTTGTCCTGGTTTAAGATCCCCTGCTTATCATTACCCTTAAGTCTTTCTCACGTTGTTCATTTGATATCTGGTTTCTATATTTATATCTCCTAGGCTAATTACTTTATATTTTTCCACATTAAATTTACCTGCCTTTTTCAGACCATGTAGTTTTGCCGAGTCCTCGTCAGATTTAATTACACCCCCAATTTTTAGTGTCAGCAAATTTAATTATGTTGTTATCTACGCCTATATCTATGTCGTTTATGTATATATTGTATATAATAAACAGCAATGGTCCAACACCATTTACTACTGAAAAGCGACAAATCGAATTTTTCAGATTTGGGTCAATTGGTACAGCTATGGCAGCGTTTGTCTCATGTGTTCTCATTGTACGACGTCTCACGTACTTAGTTGAATACAAGCTACCTTCTTTATGGAATGTTTTGATGAAGGAGAGAATGGTCCATCTCTGCGATGAAATTCCCTTCTGAATGCTTCCTTGACTTTCAAAAACTGAGACGTATTTAGCGGGCAGGGGCTCCTCTCAATTGAATAAAACCGCCTGGCGTTAGCCAGAATAAAATACCTAAGGGATATTTTGCCCTCAGAAGGGTTAATATATTAATATATTAAATCTGTGTTGGTGCGTACAGTACATAGTAACGTTCCCTAAGTCAAATATTCAGGGCTTCACTTGTAACACGGAAATTAATTATTTAGATATACAAATATTTTTTCAAATATAGACAATAAGAATGTGTCAGAAATAAATGGAACACCCTGTATATGGTGGTGACTAACACTTTGTATCACCCATTACAGCAGTTCCTGACCAGTGTTCCCTCCTCGGGCGTCATGCGCCTTGCAGAGACTCCAGGTGAGATGCATTCCTGGCCAGGCGCCTGACCTGACCTGACCTGCGATTGACCTCTATATATATATATATATATATATATATATATATATATATATATATATATATATATATATATATATATATATGACATTTCTAACCACACCCTGCAAAATACAGTGTACTTAGCAAATGCTGCAGCTTCTGAGAATGGGGAAGGGGAGCGGGGTTACTACTAAGAGCAGAGACGTTACCGAGAACAAATTCTAGCTTGAATGTCATGTACACTAATACTGTAACGTTCCTTGATAAGAGAGAGGAGTTTGAAACACTACTGAAGGTACACCAACCAGATATTGTAGGAGTTATAGAGTTGTTGTACAAGAACAGGAGAATCGACCCAGAGGAATGTGAGTTCAGTATTGCAGGATATGACTCATTTACGAACCTTTCTCAAGAAACTTTCAAGAGGGGTGTGTTAATCTATGCTAGGTAAGACCATAGAGCCAGCCAGGCGAGGGTACAGGGAGAGGATGTTTTTGAAGAGTCCAAGTGGTGTTAAATTAAACTAAAGGGAAAAGACTTACTTATTGTCAGGTGTATCTACAGATCCCCAAACTGTGCCCCACTAAATCAAAGGAACTTAAGAGCCTGAATAGACAATGCGGCGATGCTCAACCCCAGCCACCTACTTATAAAGGGGGACTTTAACTATGGCGACATCGACTGGAGAAACGAGTTCACCCCAAATGACTTGAATAACCCTGCTACTCTTTTTGTAGAAACTCTGAGAGATAATTTTCTGTTCCAACATGTTAGAGACCCGACACATTACAGAGGGGAGCAAACACCCAAGCCACTTGACCTCATCATAACAAACGAGGAGGGTATGGTGGCCAAACTGGAACACCTTGCCCCAATTGGCACCAGTCACCACATAGTGTTGTCATTCAGATTTAACTGTTATCTAGTTCAAGATAAGGCCAGGCCAAGGTGCAAATATTACAAGGGAAATTTCAACGGGATGAGTGAAGAGATGAGGGGTATCCACTGGCTTGACTCATTAAGGCACAAGAACGCAGACACTACGCTGAATATCATAACTAGTAAAGCGAACCATTTGATCGATAACTATATACCCAAAACCAAACCCAGTGCCTCTAGGAATACGAGGGGATCCCAACACATGAACCATGCGGCGGTCGACAAAGTTAAGAAGAAAACCCAGAAATTCAAGACGTGGGTTGGGTCAAATGATGAGCTGTGACCCCTTGTGGGGCGAGCGTCCGCCAGCTCCAGGTAAGGACACTTGACTGCGTAGTGCCCTTTGAGATGTTTATACACTCCAGTTAGGTCCCCCCCCTTGCCCGTCTGTAGTATAAGCCAGGCAATTTCAGGCTCTCTAATCTCTCAGGGTAGCTGCGGTGTCGAAGTGCAGGCACCAGTCTGGTGGCCCTCCTTTGGACATTTTCAATCAACTGACATTCCCTATAGCATATCTCGGGGACCAGACGGGGTGATAGTACTCCAGGCGGGGAAGCACCTCACTCTTGAAGATCGTTGCGAGGGTCGGTCTAGATATCTGAACTACCTTCTTAGAAGACCTAATAATTTAGTTGTGTTCTTATCTACAACTAATACTACTACTATTGTCACTTTTACTATCACTACCATTACTAATGGTAATGCCTCTCTTATCACTACCAGTATCATCATGACCATCTCTATCAGTTTCGGCAACAGTGTTCAGTGAGTCACCACTGCCAACGTTTTGTCGCTCGTTAACTTAGGACGTGGTTGTTGTGTTGGCGACAACTTCTTCACTTTGAACTTCTTAAACAATTTCATGCTTAGGGCTGGCCAACCCCGGATGTGTGAATTCATAACGTGCTGAGAAGGACTTTTGCACAAGTACATATTGTAGTGGGAAGGGAGCGTGTGTGAGCTTATGGGTACACATTGCGATGGCCGGGATGGTTATGTATTTATAGTTTTGGTGTTAAGGAAGAGCATCTGCTGTAGAGTAGCATAGTAACTTGTTTAATTCAATATCTAATGGGCACGCAAACGCCCTAAAGCTAAGCTTCTGACAAAAATACCAAACAACTTTCTCACCGATGACTCTCATCACTTTTTCTTACAGTGCCGGAAGTGAGTCAAGCAGATGGTCACTTCGAAGTTTTGAGACGCCCCTTCGATGGACCAAACTCAAAGGATTTTACCAGTGATGTACAGAAATTGAACCTTCACCCAGACCGGAAGAAGGCCAAACCGGGCCCGAGAAGACGAGGGGCGGATCAAGGAGGGGGAACGGTCAGCCCTCAGAGCATCGATGAGCTGTATTGGATGTTGCCCGGGGCAGTTCTCTCTGACAGCGAAAGTTGCTTCTCTTCTATGAGCGGTGCTATGTAACGGATGATAAGGAGGAGTATATCAAGGTCGTGGTAGTCAGCTGTTTCAGTCATCCTTCATATATTCTCGTGGTAGTTTGTTATGGATCTCACCCCCACACAAAAAAAAACTAATGACGGCGTTTCTGTCCTTTTTTAACTACTGTAATTGTTTAAGAAAGGAAAAAGTTATTTCCCATTCAGGATAGTTACCTCGACGACTTTCTTTTCCCCACATGTGTGATATCATCCAGTTTGTTTTAGGAATTCCAGCTGAATTTTATTAGCCAGGGTAGAGAAGCCTCCGTCCCCCTCCTCCCCTCTAACAACACTTTTCCCGTGAAGCATCATTCATTACCTTTGTCATAATTTCTTTAAAAAAACATAAGATATTTTAATACTTATAAATTGTGTTTACAAGTATTTGTTTATTAGTCTTGTCAATTGGAACAAAAATCCAACTAACCCAGTCAAACACGTGTTAAAAAAACGCTGATACCTTTACACGCCCCTCGACCAGTAACGGCTCCCGGTGATGTTTACAAACGATCAATTGACTCGGGATCACTCACCAGCAGACACGCTACTGAGTATCAAGGACTTTGTAGGGGTATCGAGATATTAATGTTGTCTAGCACTCAGGATGGAAGGAAACTCTAATGTGGTTTTCTTGTATAATATAAGTTATATGATAGACAGTCTGGTGCTGGAGGTGCGGTGTGGCGAGGGGCTGCTCAGTGGAGACGTTTGGTGAGTAGCGTGTTGAAGGAGGTAGATGTGCAGGAGCTTCGTTAGAGAAGATGTTGCCTGTTGCTGGCCTCCTGGTTGAATGAATGCTAACATTTTGGAGCTTGCTGGAGGAGGTGTTGCTTGTTCAGGAAGATGGGCAGAATGAATCTCAATGGAGAGACAGAGCTTATATACCCAGCAGCCGCTATGAGTCATGTTGGGAAAACCCGAGAAGTCGCCGGTTCCTAGTTTCGTTGCTAGGATACGGTAACATCTGGTTGGTTACTAGGGAAGGCGGTAGCAGGTGGTGGCTGTGGCTACGCAGTTGTAGGCAGTTGTAGGGGAGACGTCCACTACAACTTTATAAAAACTAGTATTTTATCCTTCACTGAAAATATAACGCATCTGCTAAATTTCCCACACATTCCGGACAGCAGTCAGTTGTGAACTTTAACAGGATATTTGTAACCATTTATGTTTTCATTTAAGTTTATGATTCAAGGTTGATAAGATTTCTTTAAATAAACTGATATTTTTATTTTATCTATTCTGGTCTTCTTTTCATATAGAAGATGACCATGATTTACAGAAAATAATCAATTTGTTAGCGCATTACAAGGATTTATTATATAACAGTCTTAGGTACATATGGTGGACTATCTGCTTCTCTAATAAGGTATCATTTTATTTATGTCCAAATCATTCTTTGGTATAGCAATTTCAAGAGCAAAGGGAATTTTGAGTGACGTTAATAAGCTTTGAGGAAATTACAGCACGATCATCTAGCTAGAGTTAAAAGATAACATCCAGAAAGTTTTACAACAAATTATGATATTAACAGTCATAGTTATATGGCTAGATAAGCGACACGGCAAAGTTTTTGGTGATAAAAGTAAAACTTGCGCTGTTAGTTGGATATTCTACTTTGCCAAGATATGTCAATGATGACTACCAATTACAGGTACAGTACCTATAAGTAGAGAATGTCGATCGCGAGTTTTTCTCCTTCAAAGTTGCTAAAAAAAAAAAAAAATAAAAAATAAAAATATATATATATATATATATATATATATATATATATATATATATATATATATATATATATATATATATATATATATATATATATATATATATATATATATATGCAAATAAATCACTGTAGGTGCGCGTGATCCAGGTATATGCTGATAACCATATACTGTATACGTATATACATTATATATATATATATATATATATATATATATATATATATATATATATATATATATATATATATATATATATATATGCTGATAACCACAAGGAAAGAAGAAAACACGAAGTTCCCAAGCGCTTTCGTGTAATTCACATCTTCAGGGGTGAGTACAGACTAGAGAGAGAAATACAAATCAAGGTGTATATATACAGAGGAGGGTGAGACCAGGTCCACAATGGTCAGGTATTAGGTAATGACCCTACTAATCTTTAAATAGCACACAACGGTTGGTGGTCAGGTCAGATGGTCAAGTGACCCGGCCTTCTCACCTGATCACAAATCTTCTTAATTACAAAATTGTCCAGCTTGTACATGCCGTTACTCAAATTCATGTTGAATGCTTCGGTATGTTTAATAAGACTAGATTCTATGATGTTCCTACTATCAATTGAATTACATGGTAATATTGAGGAGGCATTATCCCAGTCAATGCAATGCTTGTTATCCCTCAAATGAACAAACAGAGCATTGGATTCCTGGCCTGTCCTAACACTGTATTTGTGTTGTTTAATTCTAGTTGCAAGATCTTTACCTGTCTGGCCTAAGTAAAACATATTACATTCCTTGCGAGGAACTTTATAAATGCAACCAATTGTGTTGTTGGGGGAGTTCTTGATTAACATTTGTTTAACAGTGCATGAGTTTTTAAATGCCACATTGACGTTCCAGGACTAAAAACGAATTTTCAGAGAAAACTGGAAATAAATTGTTTAACACTGGATAAACGAGATTGGTTGGAGTCACCTAATCCTAGTTTGCTAATCCAACAGATTTTCTGCCTTATTTACACACAATTGCAGGTGTTCAATTGTTTCTCTTACTCTGACAGCACAACATATAATCGTTTCTCCTTGATTTATTGTATATATTTTTGTATTAATTTATAATCCAATTTTTTTTCTCGCCCGGGTGGGCTAATCTCCGTAAAAAAAACACCCGCTTGATTACCAGATTCTTATGAGAGCAATTATCATACCAGGATGTTAAAAGTATCATACTGAAGGTGAATATCCACAAGAATAGCAAATGCAAAAAATTATAAAATAAATAAATGTATCAATTAAAAGCATTTTTTTGCGGGAATGCACTGCATTGACTTGTACCAAACAATAAGGTACTGTATACATGTAAGGAACTGGAGTCCCAGCTGTTTATGTGTACATAATTTATCATGCAACTTTCAGCTATTGTCAATCTTTTGAGAAGAATTGTTGTTTACGTCATTGCGTGATTGTTCTTTTTTGTGCTAAAGTCGAGTTGCATTGCGTATACATATACTGTAGAGGCTTGTTTTAGAGAAATCATTTATATTTTATATCAACAAATATTTCTAACAAAGTATCAAGCTTTGTTAAAATTTGAAGGACTGACGCCAAAACATTTATTCGAACAGATTAAAAATATACTTTATACGAGACACAGGATTTCCTTTCTTCCTACCAATGCAACCCGCATTGTCTGTATAGTGTATTGTACATGCCAAATCTATGTAAACTTGAATGACCATAACCTTTGACACACACTTTAACTTAATTATGTGTGTGGTTTCATCGAAACTGTGGCAGTGACCACTGACCAATGACAGATTTTGACCAAATTTACCGGTGCCAAACTGTTGACCGCCTGCATCAATTTATAAGGGTGGATGTTAAATGGTTAAAGAATTGACAAAAATCGATAAACAAATCCACAGACTGAACCGGCCTGTAGGATAGCGTAAAATATGTCAGTTCAAAACAGTTAGGGAGCATAAGGAAAAAACTATAAACAATTTTCAAGTTCTTATTTTTTATATAATGAAATATCTGAAATAAAAATAAACCTGTATCTCGTTTTAGTTCAATCTAAAATTGGTATCGTGTTCATCTGTAGTTACTACTTTCTCAGCCATGGAAAAGGGCCAAGAATAAAAATTAATGGTCCGGCGTGTATGACTCGCATCGTACTTCTAGCACCTGTAGGTCACCATCGACCCTGATCGTGCATAAGTAATAAGAAATGACCTCGGATGATTTATGGAATTACGATGTTTACACCTATACACTCTTCTGTTTCTTTTTTATCCTTTATAAGTAATCATTTCGTTTTTCTTGTAAGTCATCTACTTAAAATTTGTTCTTTCTAATAAATTTTATTGTTGTAAGTAGTTGTAGTAATAATAATGATGTCATGCCGAGGTACAATTTTGTATATTGTAATTTTTGTGAACTAGGTGTTCTGATTGTTTTCTATTCCAAGCAGCAGTTATTTTGGCATATTTGGGGAGATTTTTTGTATAAATTGACATATTACCTATGTAAGAATGGTCTTGAATGTATTGCTAAATTTGTTATGATTACTTACGTATTGTAAGCCAAGATTGTTCTAGAACTCCCCAGGTGGATCTCGTTCCGAACTCACGACCTGCAACGCCTGGATGGTGCTAGAATGCTCTGGGCGTCGGATAAGATAACACTCAGGCATGCTGCATTAAGCCACGGCACATATTTCTTCGTCTACTACTCGCTTCCATCAATCAGTTGTCCTTCCACTGAACCTTCTTCACCTTCAGGGGTGTGGTTATCTACGCTAGGCAAGACCTTAGAGCCAGCCAGGCGAGGGTACAGGGAGAGGATGTTTTTGAAGAGTCCAAGTGGTGTAAAATTAAATAAAGGGAGGGGACTTACTTATCGTCGGGTGTATCTACAGATCCCCAAACTGTGGCCCACTAAATCAAAGGAACTTAAGAACCTTAATAAATAATGCGGCGATGCTCAACCCTAGCCACCTCCTTATCATGGAGGACTTTAACTATGGCGACATCGACTGGAGAAACGAGTCCACCCCGAATGCCTTGAATAACCCTGCTACTCTTTTCGTAGAAACTCTGAGAGATAATTTTCTGTTCCAACATGTTAGAGACCCGACGCATTACAGAGGGGAGCAAACACCCTAGCCACTAGACCTCATCATAACAAACGAATAGGGTATGGTGGCCAAACTGGAACACCTTGCCCCAGTTGGCACCAGTCACCATACAGTGTTGTCATTCAGATTTAGCTGTTACCTAGTTCAAGATAAGGCCAGGCCAAGGTGCAAACATTACAAGGGAAATTACAATGGGATGAGGGGTATCAACTGGCCTGACTTATTAAGGTACAAGAACGCAGACACTACGCTGAATATCATAACTAGTAAAATGACCCATTTGATCGATAAATATATACCCAAGACCAAACCCAGTGCTTCTAAGAGTACGAGGGGATCACTGCACATGAACCATGCGGCGGTCGACAAAATTAAGAAGAGAACCCAGAATTTCAAGACGTGGGTTGGGTCAAACGATGAGCAAGACAGGAGGATGTATGCAAGAGCCAGAAACCAAGCAAAGATAGAGTGTAGGAGGGCTGAAAAGGAGTTCCAGAGGCTGGTTGCAAGCGAGGTCAAGTCAAACCCAAAGGCGTTTTACAGCTATGCAAAGTCGAAATTGAAAACGCGAGTAGGAGTATCAGACCTGAGGCTTGAAGATGGTAGTTACGCAGATTCTGACCAGGATAAAGCTGAGTCATTGAACAACTTCTTTTCCTCGGTGTTCACAAGAGAGGATGCAACTAACCTTCCTGCATTTGAGGACAGACGGTTCGACACAGCACTGACCCACATTGTGTTCACAGAAGAGGGTATTAGAAATAAACTGTCCAGGCTAAAGGTCCATAAGGGTTCCAGACCTGACATGGTGCATCCTCGAGTGCTAAGAGAGTTGTGCAACGAGCTTGCAGAGCCCCTGAAGATCCTGTTTTGTAAATGCCTGGATGAACAAATGGTCCCCAGTGAATGGAAAGTGGCTTATGTGAGTCCTATCTTCAAGAAGGGCGATCGTCACTCCATGAACAACTATAGACCGGTGAGCCTGACCAGCATAATATGTAAAGTACTTGAGAGTATAATTATCAGAGATGCCGCGATGGAACATCTACAACGGTTTTATGCCGGGGCGCTCTTGCGACCGATCGCCCAAGCGGCTAACAAGCCGATCAGTGGCGAAGAGGATAAAAGTAAAAAGTAAAAAGTTAACACAATTGCTGAAGGTATTGGATATTTGGACCCATATTCTGGAACTGGGTGGTAATATCGACAATATTTACCAAGATTTTGCCAAGGCTTTCGACAGTGTACCCCACGAAAGGCTGAAAATCAAACTGGAAGGGTACGGAATTCGGGGAAATGTCCTAGCGTGGATAGAAGACTTTCTACATGACCGCAAGCAGTGTGTGGTGATTAATGGCACGAAATCGTCATCTGTACCTGTAACAAGTGGGGTACCACAGGGCAGTCAGGGCAGTGTATTGGGCCCGCTGTTGTTTGTTTGTTTCATAAATCACATGCCTGACGTTGTACACTCCTCCATACAAATGTTTGCCGATGACGCCAAGTTATTTCGGGAAATTAAGAACCAAGCGGACTGTGAAGAGCTGCAGAAGGACCTCTGTGGGCTCCAGGAATGATCGAAGAAATGGCTGCTGAGATTCAATGTCACGAAGTGTAAGAGGATGCACCTGGGGTGTACCAACGGTAAGGAGGCGTATCATATGTCCCAACGGGATGAAGAAACTGCACTAGTTGAGACTGTGTGTGAGAAGGACCTAGGTGTGTATGTTGAGAATGAGCTGAAGTTCTCTGGCCATTGTGAGAAGAAGGTAAATCAGGCAAATAAATTATTGGGTCTTATAAGAAGGTCGTTCAGATATCTAGACGGTCCGTCCCTCGTAACGATCTTCAGGAGTGAAGTGCGTCCCCATCTGGAGTACTGTCACCCCATCTGGTCCCCGAGATATGCTAGGGACTGTCAGTTGGTTGAAAATGTTCAAAGGAGGGCCACCAGATTGGTGCCTGCACTTCGGCACCTCAGCTACCCTGAGATATTGGAGCGCCTGAACTTGCCTAGCTTATACTACAGATGGGCAAGGGGGGACCTAGATGAGGTGTATAAGCATTTCAGGGGGCACTACTCATTGAGTGTCCTTACTTGGAGCTGGCGGACGCTCGCCCCACAAGGGGTCACAGCTCAAGATTGAAGAAGCCGCAAGTCCAAAAAACTGTGAGGGCAAACTTTTTTAGGGGTGAGAGTTGTGAACTCTTGGAACAATCTACCAGAAAGTGCTGTGACGGTACCGAGTGTGAGCTCTTTCAAGACAAAACTTGACCAACACTGGAGCGGGTTCAGGTACATTCAGGAGCCGGTGCATGCCCAGTGCTTGCCAACAGTGCGTAACAGAGACGTGACCGATCGCCCAAGCGGCTAACGAGCCGATCTTTTGGTGAAGAGGATAAAATGTCCAAAGGGCCACCAGGACCAGACTGGTGCTTGCACTCCGACACATGCAACTGCTTAACTTATACTATAGTCGAGCAAGGACGCAAGGGGTGACTTAATTAAAGTTTATAACCATCTCGGAGGGCACTACTCAGTTGAGTGTCCGTACCTGGCGCTGGCGGACTTTAGCTCAAGATTGAAGAAGCCACAAAGGCCCACAAGTCTTGAAAAACGTGAGGGCAAACTTTTTGAGAGCGAGAATTGTAAACGCTTGGAACAATCTGCCAGAGAGTGTTGTAACCATGAAGGTTTAAGACCTCCATGGTTGTCACGGCACCGACCGTGGGCTCTTTCAAGACCAGATTTGCCCAACACTCACCCAGATTCAGATATTTCTGGAGCCAGTACGTGTCCAATACTTGCGAACGGTTCGTAACAGAGACGTGACCGACATCCCAAGCGGCTAACGGAAGGAAATTGAAATGAACTGTTGAGTCCACAAATATTCATTTTCATTCAGATTTTTGTTATTACAATAATAAGCAAGTAAGAGAGCTGTCAGATATTCCATGTGTTCACTAAATATTTAAAGAAACTAAATAATAAATAATCATTTTATAACACATATCTGTAAGACAAATCATACATTAATATTACATTTTAAAATACAATTTAAACAGTTTTCTATGACGGCCAACTGCAAGTTGACAGACTTAGTAGGGAAGCGAGCCATAATATTGTGACCACGGGCACGGCCGCCCGGCGAGCATGGTGTCAGGGCGTAGATTATCACTTTGTAAGTAAGTACGAGCTGTTTTTGGTGCTGTTATAAAAATAAAACTTGAACTGTAATTGATTGATGTGGGTATGAAAGGGAGTGAGTTAATTTTGGGTGTCCTCAAGAGCTTTTGAATTAAGATGTTTTAGTGTGGACGTGGTTGCGTAACCTGAACTAGGGACCAACAAGTTGATTCAAGTCTCCTTTACGAATTGATAATAACGATGTAATTAAAATAAAGGTATTGTTACATTTTCGGTATTATTTTAGTTTCGGTCATGTGGGGAATCTTAGGAACTAGTTTAGGTTAGGTTAGATATCCGAATTATGTTTTTTCGATGGTTTTATTATGTGTTTTGAACGATTTGGACCTTCATATCTGTTGGAAATCACATCGGTCCGACTAATTACCCAAATGTACCCAAATGTAGTAAAATGTAGCCGCAATGAAGTCAAATAATGGTCCTACATGAATAAATCGGACTGCTAATCACTTCTCGACTGGTATTTGGTGTTACACAGTCACAAAAAATTGGAAAACTTACTTTAATCTGAGTTAATAGATCGCGTGCATGTACCAAGGGAGCGAGGAATTACCCAAATGTATCCAAATGTAGCCGTAATGAAGTCAAATGATGGTCGTACAAGCATAAATCGGACTGCTAATCACTTCTCGATTATTATTTGGTGTCATAAAGTCACAAAAAATTGGTAAACTTAATTTAATCTGAGTTGTGTTGTGTTAGGTTAGGTTAGGTTAGGTTAGGTTAGGTTAGGTTAGGTTAGGTTAGGTTAGGTTAGGTTAGGTTAGGTTAGGTTAGGTTAGGTACATGCACTCGATCTATTAATTCAGATTAAATTAAGTTTACCAATTTTTTGTGACTTCGTGACACCAAATACTAGTCGAGAAGTGATTGGCAGTCCGATTTATGCTTGTACGACCATCATTTGACTTCATTACGGCTACATTTGGATACATTTGGGTAATTAGTCGGACCCGGGGGGGTGGGGGGAGCTCTCAAAAGCAAGTGATTTTCGATTAAAATCAGTATAATTGAATAAAACAAAACAAAAAAACACTGGAAAAGACACATTGCTCAACTCGAGAGCCATATTGGTTGAAAATGAAAATTTACCCAAAATAAAAGTTTGTAACATTTTTGTATTATGAAATATTATCGGAAGAGCACCTGTGGAATATGAGCGAAAATGAGCAGCTTATGGGACAAGCCATCATTTTAGTGTCAAATGATCAGCTTTTCACCGTGTTTTACCGCACAATTTCCCTTATCCTTCGTGCTCTACTAACGTTACCTAATTCCTAAGATTCCCAGGATTACAGAAACTAAAATAATACCCCCTTTTTATGGATATATTTTTATTTTGAGAAAACTAAAGAAGAAACACTTTTCAACATTAATTTTTGTTTTAAGTTTTCCCCAAAATACAACTGTCTCCATAAAAGAAAGCAAAGAATATGCAGAAAAAAATATTTCATGTTGTTTACTGTTGGCTGAAGAACCTTACGTTACCGCACCTAGGTAATTAATGAAACCATTGCTGCAACCTAACCTAACCAGTCACAAGTGGTTATATAATACGTGTCCTAACTGGCCCCCCCCCCCCCCCAAAAAAAAATCCCCAATAGAAGACAATATCTAAAGACACTAGAAACAAAAATTATGGCGGAATAATGATTTGTTATTGCCGAAATCGTGGACGGAGTAAATTTAACCCAAAGTACTTATTATTAAAATAAAAAGTTGCTGCCCTTTTAAAATACTTAATTTAATGATAAGAACATCTGGAAAAAATGAACGAAATCAAACAACTCCTGGTATTAGCCGTCTTCAGTGTTACCCTTCCATGTGCGAAAAGTGTTCTGCGTCCGAATGCAAAACTATTCAACGTGTTTTTGACAATAACACCACTTTTGGGATATTCTTAAGGTAAAAAGGAAGTAACGAGAGCTGTGTGCTATAGAAAATTTATCTATAGTTGTTGGTTAACCCACACCACTGTTCCAGAGTACAGTAATACCTTTCCAATTTTCCCAGGAAAGGAAGCTGTCTTTAATACAATATTTAATGAATGTAGGTGGTTTATATACGTTATATAACTAACTAAATAATTTATTGACATTCTCTTTAACTCTTTCTCATATTTCAGATAGTCATGCTGCGTGGTGTTGATCTCATGCGTAAATTGCTGCAAACGTCCCTAGTCATATCTACCCGTAGGATTGCAAATACTGCTTTCAATAAACACTTGTTCATCACAAATGTAACACTGTCTCTTTCTCTCTCAGGTAAGAATATTTGGATAAGTTAATTACAGTACATTACAGTACAGTACAGGCAATCCCCCGGGTTACAGAAGGGTTCCGCTCCTGAAAATCTTTCAACAACACGAAATTCTGTAACATGAAACCATTTTTCCCATTGACTTCCATTATGCCTGTATAAGTTAAGATGCGTTCCTACGGAAATTTTTTGACACCCAAAAACATAACACAAGAACATTCATATATGTATGAAATTACTGTAGATGGTTTTAACAACATACAAAGAGTCATTCATGATGTGACATGATAATAAATGAGCAAAACACTCAAATTTTACTTACCAGAATCAATGTTGAGTGCTGTAGGAGGTGGGGTGGGGTGGTGCGAGCGGAGTTACTGGGAGTTACGTCCTTAAAATATCAAGTTAAATGTCCAATGCAATTCCTTTATGGAATCTTTTATCACCACTGCTTTCATTTGAACTTGATGTTGCTTTTCCACTCATCTTGAATAAAGGTACACAGTAACATAGATGCATAACTGAACACAAACTGGGGAAAGAATTCAAACTGAGCAGCACCATTGTTGTGGTGGCTGCTACCAGTTGGATTTTTTCTTTTAAAAATCTAAATAAATTAACCATAATTACATAAGGGTGAATACAGTCCTCAACACAGACTCATAACTGTTTTATTTAAAATTTTTATTTTATTTATTTATTTTTTAATCCCCAAATTTTGGTCAGAATTTCACAAATTTGTATGGGCGAATTTCCGTAACGTGGGGGATGCTTGTACTGCACTCATGATGGTTGTACTGGTATCCCCAGTTTTGAGTCAGGAAAGTTTCTTCCCATCAGTAAATAGTTTTATGGCATACAGTCTGTCAGTAATATGAGATCCCAGCACATGGAACACCCACAAAACAGAGACCACATTGTCATAAGGTAGAATTGTTCAGTGGCAGGGTGAAAGATTCACCCTGTCTTTTAAGATATAGTACCTTGATCATGATTCAAACAGTCAACAATGTTAAGTTCCTGATCTCCAGTTCTCAGATCTATCTCTTGCAGCTAAACTTCACTGTTTACATGGCCAGCCATCATGTTTCCTCTTGCTACAAGAGGTGATAAGTGTCATTTACATTAAATATTTTTTATGTGTATTTGTTGGATTGACATTAAAATCACCAAGTGCTCGAGCAGTTTTCTGCCCACAATGACACAGGCAACACTGGTTAGCAGTTCAGTTTTAATCTACATAGTTTGCAAGTTCATGTCTGTCCTTTCCAGTGAGGAGCATTTTTTATAGGACTGAACTTCTTTCCATATTTCCCCATGGTATATGTCAAGTTACAAATGGTAGATGGGTGTTACACTTCCAATTTTTAACTGAGCCTGGAAATTGATTACGATCCCACTAGTAAGGATAGTTCACCAAGCACTTGTTTTACCCACAATGCACAGCTCGGTGACGTCACTGTTGTAAACTCATGCCATCTGGTGACCTCCGAGTGCCCACATCTGTTCCTGGGACCAGTGTATCAACAATTATGGTTATTTGGGGGTCGGGCCGGTTTCTATTGGAATTAATCCCATATGTTCTGTTGTTCACTTAACGCGGATTTCACTTAACACGGGACCCTCTGGGTTCTATTGACCGCGTTAAGTGGGGTACAACTGTATATATATATATATACAGTATATATATATATATATATATATATATATATATATATATATATATATATATATATATATATATATATATATATATATATATATATATATATATATATATATATATATATATATATATATATATATATATATATATATATATATATATATATATATATATATATATATATACGTATATGTATATATATAATGTATATACAATATATCACTTATCTTTGGCAAACTATGAGAACATAGGGCATTCATTTTGTTATCCCTAGCCACAGAAAAGCCTTAGCCTTACAAGTACGGTGTTCTAAAAAAATGTAACAATCAAATGTCACCTAAGGCAAGACCCTCACCTTCTGTGACTGCCCCTAAGTTACCAGTCCTTGCTCTTGGTGGCCTTCTTGGAGGTTGGCTGGTTGCAAGTTTCACTCGGCATCCCACTTTGTAAATGAGCCTGATAAATGAAGAAGTACAGTTGTGCATTTTCTGTGTGTTCTCATGATTCGTTAGCTTCTAGCTAGCCTTTGGGAAGCCTCAGCTTGTCGTACAGTACTCTATTTTAAGGGATAGACCTGTCATTGGGCAGATGGACTGATCTTAGTAGCCAAGATACTTATGTCTTGAGGTTCCTTGGGTTCCAAAACCGGAATGATTAGTGGGCATATTCATGAGTCTTTTTCTAGGCTCTGTTATAAAATACAGTGGGGTATGCTATAACGAACGGATCCTACTACGAATATTCCTATAACGAACGGTTTTACCTATAAAATTGAGAATGCTATAACGAACGAAACTCCTACAACGAACATTATTTAATTTTGTTTTCTCTAATTTATTGTTTTTTTATTACAAATATTAATGATATTCTTTATTTCAGGGGTTTAGATGCATATTTATGCACTTTTTTACAATTTTTACAATTTTATATTATATTTTTCAGTGTTAAGTGGTTGTATTTGGGGGCCTGGAACGGATTAATCCTATAACGAACGAATGCTATAACGAACAAGGTTCTAGAACCAATTAGATTCGTTATAGCATACCCCACTGTACTGTAGGATTTCAGAGGCAGTTTATTAGTTATTATTGATGAGGAAATAGATGGTTTAGATATCCCTAGGTGTGGATTCTATATTCTCCCTTCTGGAAAGCAGTGGAGGTATACATCATTCTCATAGATCTGAGTGATCCAGGATTGTTTTGAAGTAATACTGTTTTTGGTAATACCCTGCCACTATTTTCCCTTGTATGGCAAGGTGACTCTATAAGGTGAATAGTAAACAATACAGTATGTTCGCTTTCTTTCTTTTTTATCTTGTAATGGGATTACTTGTGTTTTTTTTTTTTTTTTCAGGGATTAACCCACCGGGACACAGGTCACTGACCCACATTGGGACCTGGGGTGGAGAAAATGTAATAATAATAATAATAATAATAGTAATAATAATAATAATAATAATAATAATAATAATAATAATAATAATAATAATAAATAATAGTCATAATAATTCATAATAAATAAAATTTATGATAAAAAAAACAAAAATAAAATAATGATGATAATAATACAGTAACTGTAATAATAATAATAATTTTAATACTGTATTATCCCGCTACTTGTGGTTTCACTTAACGCGTTTTATCATATACCTTGTTGCCTCGCCAGAGCTGAACTTTCACTTAACACGGATTTTTTTCCACATATACGCGGGGTTCCGAGGCAGCTTATTTTAGATTTACGCCACCCTGCCTGACTGCCTGTTTTAGCTCATAAAATTCATACAAATTACCCGGCCAGAATATAATTTACATTGCTGGAATTCTTATAATTTGGTGATCATTTTGAATATAAACATCATATATTTTGCATTAAACATACAATTTTTAGATAAAAATTTTTCTCTAGGTAACTATGTTATCTTTTGTGCAAAATATATGACATTTATATTCAAAATATTCCTGGTCTTACAAGGAATCCAGCAATGTCAATTGTATTATCCTAACTTTAGTTTGAGGTATTATTTATTAAAATTTAGTGGTTTTCCCCCAAAAATTTCTCTGAGAGGGAAGAGCCGGCAGTGTAGTGTGAGAGTGGGAGGGAGTTGAGTCCATTATTTGAATGGACATTAACTTGGCGACTGTATTTCTCTATTTTCTTAAGTATTAATTGTGTGCATGTACCATCATAAAATTAAGATGTTATTTTTACTACAACATAGGTATGTGCCTTCAAAAAGTGGAGTTTGGGGGTCGGGCCGGTTTCTATTGGAATTAATCCCATATGTTCTGTTGTTCACTTAACGCGGATTTCACTTAACGCGGGACCCTCTGGGTTCATTGACCGCGTTAAGTGAAATTTTAATACTGTAATAAAAAACTATAAATACAAAAATGAATAAAAAGATCAAAAGTGAGAAACGATATATGTATGTTGTGTTGTCAACAGTAAGAGAAACAATTGAGACCCTGCAATTGTGTATAAATGAAGCAGAAAGTCAGATCAGCAACCTGGGACTTGGTCACAATTTTCGTGATGCCATATGGCAGCAGGGTCTACCATTAGACATCACATTATGCTTCCAATATCTTCCCAGGCAGTAGTACCTCCCTGTTTGGTAGCTGCCTACTACCTATTACCTATTTACCTATGCTTTATTATTAGTAAAATGGTATTGATCTCTTATTATTTTCTTCCTTGCTTTTTATTTTAGGTATGGGTGATGTCCTTCAGCAACATCATAATATTGCATACAAACAGCAGGCAACTTGGGATATAACCCGAACACGACACATGACCTGTACTGGGATGACTGTAGGTGCTCTTTGCCATCACTGGTAAGTCCAGTGAGATTTTCCCATCTTTTGTAGAAGGAATGCTATCCCTTAATTGGAGTAAATTGTTGTTTTCATAAAGGAAAATATTTAATTGCCAGAATCAGTTATGTTTTCTTGAAAATAAATGTTACAGATGTATAGAATACAAATTAAATTGTGTAAGAAGTTTTGTGTTAGGTCTTCACCTCTTATCATAAATCACTTATAGTTCAGTAGATGATACATATTTAGTCTCTTATCAAGGCCATTCTCATTTAATATTCTCATTGTGAAGATCTGATTCAGATAAACACATGCTTCAACAAATATTACTTGCTTGTCTCATACTACATTATCTGTGACTTTTAATCTTTTTATTCATTGCCATGCCATCACAAAATAACCTTAGAAGTTATAATTTTGAAAAATATTTAGATTATTTGCCTTTTCAGGTACATTTTGCTAGATAAAAAATTGCCTGGCCGAACTCTAAAAGTTGTGGTGAAGAAACTCCTGGTTGATCAATTATTGTTTTCACCAGTGTGCTTGACTGTTTTCTTCATATCACTGGGGTTCTTCAGAGGAGGTGATTGGGAAGAGTTCTTTTCTAACCTTCATCATAAAGGTTGGATGTTGTATGTTGCTGAATGGTTTGTGTGGCCTCCCGCCCAGATCATCAACTTTTACTTGCTCCCAACAAAATATCGTGTCTTATATGATAACATTATATCTCTTCTTTTTGATGTTTATACCTCACATATTTGCTATGATATGAAGATCAATAAAATAGATGATTATGGAGAAAATACAATGGATAAAGGTGTGTTAAAAAATGACTCGGAAATAAATGTAAATAACCATACGGGGAAGTCTGTGAGTTGATGTGAGATACAGTCTGAATGAGTACTAAAGAATTTATTTTAATTAATAATGCCAAATACTGTAATCTTATAGCCTAACATGTGGCTCAGTCTACTCATGCATAGTAATGTCAACCAAGCGTGCAGTTTGAAAATCCAGTCTTCATTCGAACATTGGTGGCTGGAACTAATCAAATAGAAAATTAGTTTATCCCTTCCTTTCATACTGTTATCTAAAAAGGCTGGGAGTTTCATTGTCATATTAGCACATGTACTCTGCAACCTTTAATTAACTCACTTACATTCTATCATCTCATGTGAGTCAAACCTCAGTTGCAGCCACCTAGGTAGACAGAGAAGACACCTCCTTGGTTGTTACATTTCCTGTCTGAAGATAAGTGCAACCCCTCACCTATTTTAGCTATGTACTCGAGGTTTGGCTGTAGCCATATAATCTTTAGTAGTAAATTTAGTGAAAACTGAGTTATTTCCTTGTGAAAAAAAAGAGTTCAAAATTACATAAAAATTTTATTTGAGGTTAGCTGTTGGATACTTATGGGGGCTAACATTGAAAATATTATACTTTTAAACTTATGTTCATTTGTTTTCTTTTGTAAGGACATACTGTATGTCAGAGGTTCTTAACCTGGGAACATGCCTCCCTGGGGGAGGTCTATCTTTCAGGAGGGCTGCAAAGGATTGAACATATTTCTGACTTAGAATATATAACCCCACTGAAATAAATTAATAAGTAATTAAAACATTGGTGTGACACTGTCGGACAGGGAAAACTTGCCATTCATTAATCTTAATCTTAATTTCGTGTAGTGTCCCTCAAGAGTATAATATGAAATTTTTTGGAGATAGAGTACAGCATGCCCTGACAATTTGCAGATTTTTAATTCGCAGATGACACCCTGGATGTACCCAAGAATGTCTGCGGGTAGTTTTAAAGTTACCGGCATTTTTGCGACCGGAACAGGAAGCCATTTGTTCTAAAGACTGATTTTTACGAGGAAAAAATTGCCGTATGGCAACCCATCCAACTCAACTTTAATAACAAAGCACAGAGTTAACTTGAGGGCAGACTCTCAGGCTACAGGTAGGATAATCAATCGTGGTGACATTGACCTCCGAGACCATTATAAAGTATTATGTGATGAACTCCTGCTGTTCTTAGCGCTGTTTCGCGGTAGTACTTAACAAACAACTGTTTGTGCGGTAAAAGTTTGGTCATTAAGCTTTGTGTACAACTTTTAAATTTTACTGCTAGTTAACAGAACTATTATGTCATAGCAGAAAAGTTTTGTGTATACCAGCCCAGGTTGTGATCTGGTTGTGATGAGAGGAATAGATTAATTTTCTAATCAATGCTAGTCACGATTTTGTTGATAAAACCTGGGATTTCAAACCACAGTCTTGGCTAACAATACGGCCATGCTAAGAGATGAAGGCCAGTTGCTTGTTTAGGATCCCTCCATTGTTCTTGATTCCACAACTTGACTGAGCAGACTGTCCCATAGATCTACCATTCTCTGTGTGAAGAAATATTTCCCTATGTTCATTCTACATGATAACTTGGCGAGCTTGAAGTCTTGTCCCCTTGTGTCGGTGGTGCATGATATCACATAAAAATGGCCTGGGTTCACCTTTTCCATCCCTTTCAAGAATTTGAATGTCTATGAGATTTGCCCTATTGTGCCTTGTCTGAAGGGTTGTTAGCTCTAAGGCCCTCAGTCGACTTAGATAATAGAGATGATGTACAGTAGTTCCATAATCATCCTATTCGCTCTGTGTTGAACCTTTTCTAGTGACGTTAGGTGTTTCTGAAGGTAGGATTTTCATGCCTGTATACAGTAATCCAGACTGGGATGTATGTGAGATTTATACAGTTGAAGGAGTAATTTCCTATACAGTAAAGCCTTGATAACTCTGCATTTGATATCTCGGAATTTCATATAATTCGGCATGGATATGGTCTGTGATTTTATTATAGAATTACTCGGGAAATGCTGAGATATATGTATAAAATTTGGCCGCGTGGGTAACAGTAAAGGCAGCCGGGATGTCGCGTTGCACCCCAAGCTTGGGTCAGTCTGGTGTTTGTTATTATTGCGGTCAGGTGTGCGCTGCTTGTCTCTCCACACTTTGTGTCTCTGCTTGTCCTCTCCCTCATCAAGCATCACAGATATGGTATCTGCACCTTTAAAGAGCTATAGGAAAGACATGAAGCTCAAATCCCTGAGTCTTCATGAAAAAATAAAGTGTTTGACTGAGTTGATGCTGGCGCATCCATGCGTACGGTGTGTGAGGAGTTTGGGATCAAGTCCAGCACATTTACGACAAAAATAAATCAGGACACGATTTGGAAGCACTTTTAAAGTTTGGAGGACCTTGGTAGCTCGAGAAAGTGCAAAAAAGAATTAAGCCTACAAACTTTACTGATTTAGATCAAGCTGTGTACAAGTGGTACAAGCAACAATGTACAGTATGTCTGGCGTCAAAGTACGCGGTATGGACACTCAAAATGCTGCAGCTCTCTTAGCACAACACCTCAAGATAAAAGGCTTCAAGTGCAGGTTAGTTTTTCAATTTAAGAAGCCATTGTTGTTTACTAGAAAGTTGCTGGTGAGTCTGCCAGTACTGACAAAGGAAGTGTTGAGCCCTTCGGGAAGCGTCTTATTGAAGACGCTCAGTTATTGGTCAGCCAGATATATAATGCTGACGAAACAAACCTTTTTTGGAAGGCTCCACCAGCCACCCAGGCTTACAGGTATGAGACACATGTATCCAGCAGGAAGATGGCAAAGGATCGAGTACAGTAATACCCCAATTTACGCGGTCAATTGAACCCGCAGAGGTCCGCGTAAAACGAGAAACTCGTAAATGGAATAACAGAACATATGGGATTAATTGAAATAGAGACTGGGCCGACTCCCAAACTCCACTTTTTCCAACACAATACCGACACAATACCTATGTTGTAGTAAAAATAATATCTTAATTTTATGATGGTATGCACACATAATTAATATTTAAGAGAAATACAGTCGCCAGGTTAATTTCCATTCAAATAATGGACTCAACTCCCCCCCCCCTCTTCCCAGCTCGCTGGCTCCTACCTCTCTGAGAAATGTTTGGGTGAAAACACTAGATTTTAAGGTATAGTAATAAATAATACCTCATACTAAAGTTAGGATAATATAATTGACATTGCTGGATTCCTTGCAAGACCAGGAATATTTTGAATATACACGTAATATATTTTGCACAAAAGATAACATATTTGCTCTGTGTAAACAAAATTCTTACATTAGATCTAAAATTTGTATGTCTAATGCAAAATCCATGATATTTATATTCAAAATGATCATCATATTGTAAGAATTCCAGCAATGTAAATTATATTCTGGTTGGGTAATTTGTATGAATTTTATGAGCTCAAACAAATATCTTCAGTAAATAAAAAAAAAAATATACCGTACTTCACCCAGACACTATCTGTCAATCAAAATACCCCACCTCCGGCTCCCCCCCCCCTCTTCCCACGCTCACTGGGCCCCTCCCTTCCTCCCTACCCCCCACCCCCCACCTTCCCTCCCTACCACAGAAATGTTTGGGTTAAAACAGTATATTTACATTTTTAGTAATAAATAATACCTCAGACTAAAGTTAGGATAATATAATTGACATTGCTGGATTCCTTGAAGACCAGGAATATTTTGAATATATACATCATATATTTTGCACAAAAGATAACATATTTGCTCTGTGTAAACAAAATTCTTACTTTAGATCTAAAATTTGCATGTCTAATGCAAAATCCATGATGTTTATATTCAAAATGATCATCATATTGTAAGAATTCCAGCAATGTAAGTTATATTCTGGCCGGGTAATTTGTATGAATTTTATGAGTTAAATAAAAAAATTATACTTCACCCTAGTATATGAGTAGATGCACCGTGTAAAGTGGGAATTCTGGTTCTGGCAGGGTACCGCGTAAATGTAGAAACGTGTAAACGAGAACCGCGTAAAGCGGGGTATTACTGTATTGATCATGAACAGCTTACCAGTGATAATACAAGGGGAATAAGACTGCCCAAATTACTCATGACATCTTTCACACCTGGTTTCACAGTCACTTTTTACATGTTGTCA